ATTTCGACTCATGGATAATTTTCACCTTCACAGAAATTCCACAGGAAAATAAAAAAAATAAATAAATAACTGCAGCTATATATATATAACGCCTCGGGTTTAATGTAGCAGCACAGTAACGATGCCTCAGATATTTCAGCCTGTGTAAACAGGGTTAGGGCCTGCAGAACGTCGCTCCAGAATAACCTACAGCTATTTTCAAACTCTGTGTGCAGGCAGAACACATCATCACTAATTTTGTAACAGTTAATGAAGGCCTGTGTGGCCAGGTGATAAAAATGCAAAGTTAGGGCAATACTTTAGCTTAAAAGGTGATCCAAAGTCAGCACAATATGGAAATTAAATGTTTGAAATAATTAAGGCCTGCAGTGATAAAATCTCCAAGAATTTCCTGCCTGTGTATGCACAGACTCTTATAAAAGATCCATTTATGTTGGACAGCGGGACACATTCTTTTCACGTTACTCACAGGTTGTGCCTTAACTTGATTAAAATCGCATTCTGAAGTTGTTCTAAATTGTGCAAACGTGTTGCAAACTCCAAGCCTTCCATTAAGTGTGCTACTATCAGCAGGACATTGGCTACAATTTGATTATTTTATCGTTTTTTGGCACTGCTGGTTGTGTAATCCCTGGTGAACTGTTCTTTCATTTGCTACTAAAGACTGCAGTTTTAAAATGCCCAAAATATAACAATATTTCCATGAAAACAATTCCATGCTTAATTCAGGCTAAATATTTTCTTTAGATGAGTTAGTATTACGTTTACGAAATGTCAGAATATTTATTTATGTATTTTTTTAGCTTTTTAATTTTTTTTTTACTTCCATTACGCTTTGCATTTAAACTATTTGGGAGAGCACAGATGATGACTTCATAGTTTGGGAAGGTTCTGATGTGTTAATTCAGGGCACACATGTGTATTTTGAGGCAGCATCTTAAATACACTAGTTCCTTAAGTGACACCATAGAAAAAAAAAACCAAATCAGATGAATAATCAGTAAGACAATTGGGGACCTGAACAACTTTAGCTCATCCTTGGCTTCAGTTTTCTAATACCTAGCCTCAATGTAATCTAAACTGCACTTTAGATTGTTTTGCCCTCAACTATTGCCAGCATCAACACCGTGTTCAGGAAGGATACACGTTTTGTGTCCCAGAGATGAACAATTTAGTAAAGATGCCAGCTTACACTGACAAGAGAATGTAAGTATTCATAATAAAATGACTCTGAATAGCCACTCAAAGAAGAAATCATTACTCCAAAACGAACATAAAAAGTACATTCGCAAGAAAAAGGATATTTGCAATATCTTTCCAAATATCAAATATTGCAAATATATTTGGAGAGATGTCTTTGTGACCTAACAAAACTAAAATAGAAGTGTCAAAATAAGCCATTTTAGCATTTAGAAAAAATGGGGGACAACTTGGAAACCAGAGAACACCATCCCAACTGCAAAGTACAGGGGTGGCAGCATCATGGTTGATTTTGCTGGAGGCGGGACGTTTGCATTTCACAAACAGTTTATCAATCGATTTTGATCGCAGTCTAATGCAAAAATTGTGTTTAAGCAATGTGACCTACAATCCCGACTCAACTGTCCAAACTCTTGTCAGGAGGAAATTAGACTAGAAATGTAATTCTAACTAATCTGAAGCAGGAAATGTTTGGGTCTGATTTAAGGCCATAATTTTAGCAGCTTTTAAAACACTAATACAAAAACAAAAAAAAAAATATCCTAGCTCCTTTCTCATTTCCATTGTGAGATTAGCCTGCAGACAATCCTACTGTTTTGGGAAAATATTATAAAACAAGGACCAACTAGTCTGAAGGGTCGACTCAAGGGCAATACAACATCTGCTCAGGTTTCAAAGATTTGGAAAAGCAACATCCTCCGAGGTCAAACGTTTTAAGGAAACATAAAACTGCTTTGTTTGAGGAAAAAAAAAATCCTGAAGTGGAAATGAGTGAACCCCTCCTATGTGCAGAGGCCAGCTATTTTTAATATGATTTTTTGCCTTATCCCATTTTACTCTATAAACTTTGAGAAATTGAGGCTTAGATTATATTGCTTGATTATATTTAGCTGGTTCACGTGTAAGCAATAAAATTACTTACTTGTCGCTTTACTTAACGGATACCATTTTTAGCTCTGCCAAAATTTCCCTTTTATTTAAAAAAAATATAACCCTATTTTCTAACCTTTTGCTTGCGCTCTTTCAAATGTGATAATTTGTTTTTACGTAAAGCTCATCAAACATAAGAACTTAACTTTTGTTCACCGCAAACACACCGAGCAACAAGCCGCTGACTGTCAACAGACTTCCGACCTCCTCCTTCAAAGAACCGTTGAAACGGTTAAAGGTTCAACAAAACTAGCCGTTAAAACTACGACGGACCAACATGAGCAGCGGGACGCCGCCGCTTGAACGAAGTTCATCAAGAAAGAAGAAGCAAACAAATCACGGCCAAAAGAGCAACCCTTCCTCTTACCTCCACCCCGCTCGAAGGAATCGGCTTTTCCGTTGATTTGATTTCCTTCTGATAAAGTTAAACTCCACAGTTTCTGAACTTCTCCGTACCCAACCAGAGAAACCCCCAGTCACTCCGCATCGCTACGCCATGATGTCGATGTGACACGGCAGTGGGGGGAAAGTTGATGACGCCACAGTTGGGAAAAAAAAAAAAAAAAAATCCCTCCCCGCTTTAGTCTGGATTGGTCCGGGAGCAGGGATTTTTGGGTGCGCACCATTTCACATCCAGAGAGGCAAACGGCACACAGATCCACAGCGAAGGCGCGACGAACTCTCCCTTCCAGAGTGACTGATATTAATAAAACAAAGTTGCCTGGTTGCCAAGATAACGACATTGTTATAATTAATACATGTGATTCTATATTATGTATCCCAGGAAATGATCTTCAGTTCTACCAACTCCTCTATTCAAAGTATTGGCTGTGTACAAGTTGCTAGAAGCCCCTATCCGAGTTGTTTCCCGGCTGACTGTTAGGGAATGCGCTCTTTTACAAGCCAGGAAGCCTGGGGCGTTCACTGTAGTATAACAGGAGCAAATGTGTGCTATACCTCTCTGTTAGTCTGTCCCTTGACCCCTGAAAACTTGCATGTTTTAATTTATTTATTTGGCACAGATGATAGTAGTCAAAAAGTACAGTGGTTAATAATATTACATTAATTAAAGTAATTTTTGTAATTTTGTATTGGCTCATGAAAGGATATTTTCTTCAAAGTTTGAGAAGTGATAGTCAGAGGTTTACCACACACGAACTTAACTGGGACATATTAGTTATAAAGAATTATAACTATCATGATTGTAAACAAAGTTCAGAATAACCATTTGAAGCTATAGCTACTGTTCTGCTAAGCCAATAAGATTCTCTTTAGATATGGTTGGTCCCCTGTAGAATAGTGATTTTTCTATTTGTTTGGAAAGTCATTCCAAACAAAAGATATCTAAAAATAAAGTGACATCTCATTAGCAACTGATCTGAGTTGGTTTATTTTGACTGTCAAAATAAACCAACAGAGGCCAATGCCCCTATTATGGGCCCTGCACTGGAGAGATAATGCCAAATGAATGTCTTATGATGGAAAGACAATACTTTTAAGTAATATCAATGTTTCAGCTTCACTGTAGCAAGTCAGAAACATACCAGAAACACTTTTCTTAACCTTTGAAGCAGTAATTATAATTAAATCACCATTTCAAAGACAACTGCCACCAAATGGCTCTATTTGTCGGAGACAAATTAATATTTGCAGACCTCATTTTTGCTCATGGTTCAGAAACATTAATGTCAATGTCAATGTCAAATTTATTTATATAGCACTTTAAAACAGGTATAAAACTGCACCAAAGTGCTGCACAGGAACGACAGTAGCACAAATAGATAAAAACAGAATATCAAAAATTGCTTCAGTTAAAAGCCAACAAATAAAAATGAGTTTTGAGAAGTGATTTAAAATTAACATTTTACAATTCAAATAACAAGTAGTGTAAATAGAAAATATTGACTAGATATTACTGACATTGTTTTGCAGCAGAAAATAAAGTTAAATGAGCCAAATCAACCAGAAAGAATGGATGAAAAAAAGGCCAATTTGTTTATTTCTGGTCAAATGGAACGCTTTGTTCCAATAAGCTGAAAGGCTAAAACAATTTTTGAAAAGGTATTTTCTATACACAGTCATGTAAATATCAACATAGGTTTTATATGTTATGTATAGAAATCACTGCATTTATACACGATTACGCTTAATACATCTGTACAGCTGAAATTCTTAAAGCCTTTTAGTGGTTCTGACTCTGCACTGTGCCACCAGCGCTCTCTACTGGAGATTATGGGTTACTGCAAAGTATCGTCATTAGCCATTCGTCATATTTTCTAGCAGTGCTTTCATTTGGCCCACAATTGAACCAAATATGCAAGTAAAATGAGTAATAGAAGACTAATTTAATTTCACAACATTCTAGGCAACATTTACTATAATATTTCACGTTATTTTTCCTATTAGAGTTTATTTCTATTTTTTATGCAAAGCAAGCGTTATCCATAAGTACTCTAATCAAGAGCTTATTAGCCTGGTCTTTTATAGCACTGAAAAACAAATGCAGAAAAAAATATTTCATTACTGAAGACTTAAATATATGTAGTCTCTACTCAAAAATAAATTCTGCAAGATAAAATACATAGAAAAAAAGCATTGCTTCTTTTACTTCTTCATTGAACTATTTTAACCGCTTTTTTTTTTTTATTGCTTGTGTGGTGTTTTTATGGTTTCTTGTTTTCATGCACTTTGAAGCCATCACAGAAATGTTGTTTTCTACATCAAAGGTCTACAACTTGGTACTGGAAAGATACTACCTTGCAACTTTTCATGCAGTGAGTCATATGTCCCAGATTAAAATTAAAACTACCTCTGGCACTGATTGGCTTTAAAAACCACTATCTGGACACACAAAAAGACAGTTCACTTGCTTACAAAAACTACATTTTATTTCAAATGGAGTCGAAGCAAAACTCTGTGAAAAGGTCAATCACTCTGTCACAGCAAAACAGGCTGACATGAGAGCAATATATTATCTTTCTGAGGAAACGACGACCACAACAGAGGAACAACGGAGGAAGCTGCACAGCAACAATACCAAACAGCCTTAGAAAAGGAAAAAGGACCTGCATCCATGGCATGACTCCTTAGCGCTGTGTGTTTGGTTAGGTAGTGAGTTCTGAAGCCAACATGTGCAGCTGCTGCTTCCATCTTTGCACAGGTTTCCGCATCCTCCATTGACGGGCACAGCATGCCATGGATGAAGCTTCAAGTTAATCCAAAGATATGCAGCTCAGCCCTCCGTTCAGTCCACAGAGGCGCCTCCAAGTAAAACAGAAAAAACAACAACACAGGTTTCAGGTTTATGTGTCCGAGCAGAAATGTCCAAAGGCACTTCGGACACAGGCAGGGGGGTCCCTGTGAATTCAGCTGCTCCATCGACTGGCTCCTTATATTTCAAGCTTAATAAGACAAGACAGTATTCTTCATAACTCGCAACCTTTTCCATCCATGAAACAAAAGTTCTTATTGGGGATAAAAACTTAACAGTCCTCAAGAAATCATTAAATCGTGGCCCGAGATACCAAACAAGACAAACTATTCCATCTAATGCTTAGGTGCCAGTATATTAGATATTATTTATATAGGGTAAAATAGACATACACAAATTTCTGACAAAAATATTGAAAAATTCTACAATTTTCTTTTCACTGTTCTTCTTATAACACTCTGTGTTCAACACTTAGAATAGAAAATGTTATATCTGTAGGTATAACTTGAAAAATGGAAGTGTTAATGGCTAATGATACCTGACAGCATCTTAAATTCATCTATAGTTTGGCATTTAATAATATAAGAACATGTTTTTATACAATAAAACAACCAATAAATTAGCTTTCTTTCAATGAATTTACATATAGGTACACAAATTTAACAATAGCTGTTATTAGCATAAATTTAGTTAATTTTGAGGGAATTTTGGTGATTACATAATAAAACTCAAACCCAATGGGACAATACAGTGTATCACCAACAAAACAGATGATCATAATAATGGCTATCACTTTTCTCCCTAAGAGATAAAATGTGCAATTCTAAGCAACAGAAAGTCAGAACTCTACATGAGGTAAATGGCAACGAGATTCAGAAAGTTCAGGTATTCAAAAGTTGCATGCACAAACCACTATGTAGAGAGAAAACGACAATGACAAATTTAAATGTAGAAATGTGAGGAATGATAGTTCTGCATAGCACAATCCCTTAAAGGACGCACTGTTCTGGTCAAAAGTTTACATACATCATAGCATTGATATAAAAAAAAGTCTGCAGGTCTTTGATGATACATTTAAACCCTTCTTTAAGCAGGGTGAGAAGATGGTGGGACACACTACTTCAAATAGTTTTAAAGATAAAATAAAGTTCACAAGTTGCAGCTGAACCACCAAGTATTGCTAGATAGCAAAGAGCTTTTGATCTATTCTTGCACTCTCCTTGGCAAAATTTGTAGGGTTCAGTAATTGTCACTGGTTTCCCAATACAAATCTGGCTTTTAAAAAACAGATTAGAAATATCTTAAGAGTTGAGGTCAGGGTGGAAATTCAGCGTTCGCAATAAATGTATAACTTGTGAATCCAAGTTTCTAAAATCGCTGAAATAGTATATAGTTTAATTATTCAACTCTGGAGAAAAAAAAAAAGGTTTAAATTAAGCGTTTAAACTTCAAATAATACGACATTCATGCAGACAAAGAAAGTATGTAAACTCCTGACCGGAGCTTTATGAGACAACCCAGGGTGCACCCAGTAAGCACAAAAAACATTAACATGTTTTTGGAAATAGGTCAGTGCATAAAGGTACATTTAAAAAAAATAATTAAGAAACATGCCTAAAGCTAGAACATATCTGCAAAACTATGAAGCTGATGTTGCATAAGAACACACAGGTGAACGGGTGCAGTCAGAAAGCAGGGAAGTCTGGAAGTCCTTCAACCGGATAACTCCCTGAATTATCTCAACTTTAATAGAGACTGACCAAAGTTGCTACCAAACCTCATAGTCACCACTTTTGAAATGTTTTTTTTTTTTTTTTGCTTAGAATGAAGTTGACCTACTCTACTATTGTTCTCAATGTATAAGGACAAATATCATATCACAACCTGCTCCATGTCTGATGCTGAAGGTATTCAACTGGGGCCCTCTTTGCAAACTGTCCCTTTAAGACACATATGGTCTGAAACTGTGGTGTTTGCCCTCATTAACCCCACAAAATACAGCATATATAAGTCAGTGTAGAAGAGAAGAGCTTTCAGGGCTGCTTTTTTGAAATATGTTCAGATAATGACAAGTGAAACCCTCCAAGCATCCACATAAGAGTTGACTCTCAAACGGTAGATGTTACAGAGGTTGGCCTGCCATGGTGCACTTTAGATCCTGAGGCTTACAGAGGGACCAGGCTGTCTTCCACATGTCCTTTTTTTAGTATTCAAACAGTAGCAACTTATCAATTCAGTGTTTTTTTTTTGTTGCTTTTTTTTTTGTTGCATTTTCATACCTAAATATTTTTCAAACTGGGATGGAGAAATAAAAGGTTGGGAATTCAACTTTTTGTCTCAACTTGTTAAAACTTTTATCTAGTGCGGAAACTGCTGCAAGGCTCAAGAGGAACATCCACCGTCTGAGGAGGGAAAGTGTCCCAGATGGTCACCACTCCTGATCTTGGGAGAGCAGTCGCCAAGAAACTATAAAGCTTATGATGAAAGGGGTTAACTAATAATTTAAAGTCTCTACATAAAAAATTATAAATGCTGCTTTTTGGAGTTACCATTTCTGTCACAAAGAAACTGATCACTCAAATGTTTCCCCACAGCAGCTGTTATAAGGGTTTTATAAAGACCAGTGCATCTCTTCGAAGTCTACAGTATCTCCCAAGTTTGTGTCGGTCTCCAGCAGGCTCATGATCACAGCCATGGCCGCTTCATCGGTGCTGAAACTGTTCAGGCTGGGTCCAACAACACTGTCCAAATCCAGCTGGGAATTCTCCCCTGAAGCAAAGGGGAAAAAATGAACACACATTTAGACAAAACTGCCAAAAGACAAACTTCTACTGCCGTCTATGTTCCTACATTATGTATGCTACTGGCTGCAAATGCTTAAGCTCACAGAGAAGAGTGGGACCATTGTGATTGTGGAAAAGGCAGACAAGAGTTTAGAAAATCTTGAAATCAGCATAGTTATTACAATATTCAGCAATAGTTTAATTACATCCTTTTTGCTGCCTTAAAGATTGCTGTTCTTACTGAAAATCTGCTGCTTTGGAACCACTGTGTGCACAGAAGTATTTATCTTTTAGTTCATTGTCAACCTGTTACTGAAAATGCTCTTATGTCAAAATTTATTTTGTTATCAAGGGACATTTTCCTAACAAGTGTAAAAATATATAATGCGGGATTGATAATTGCTTACAGTACATTATGTCATCTATTTACTTGTATTGTCACCACCTCATGAAGTAAGGACAAAGCAACAGTGGGAGGGAGGAGTGCTGGAAGGCTGTATGTGATTCAGCCTTATACTAAAATGAAGGTGAAGTAAATAGGTTTTAGACTTATGAAGAGGTTCGGATAGAGTACCCATCAGCGAGTCTCCGCCTGGGAATGAAGCCCCTTGGGGTTCACCCTCTGAGCTCGACTTTCCTGGAATCTCAATGTCAGAAGTTTCTCCGTTTGGCACCTGGAGAGAAAAAGAGAAACAGATTAGAGGCAGTATGCAGCATATTTTAAAGAAAAGCAGAAGAAGCAGTAACAAAGATAAATTTTTTTGAGGTGATTTTAGAACTGCAAACAATTTGAGATGAATAGTCTAAGCAAAAATAGACACCATTTTAATGTTTTGAAACAAAGTTGAAAGGAACGGACCAATTGCACTTAAAATATCAACTTGGGAAGTAATTTCTTACCTCCTGTATTGAGAGACATCTTTGTTATGCAAACAGTTCATAGAAACATTTATAAAGCCGTATCTACATTGGAAACTATTTAAAATTTGTTTTCCGGATAAGACAGGATTTATTTAGCAGACACTTACATTGTTGGCGATCTGATTGAGTGTTTGAGGAGATTTATCCTGTGCCAGACTGAATGGACTGACATTCCCACTAGAAGGTGATGAATTCAGCCTGAACAGATCAACAGACCTAATCAATAATGTATCAAACAGCGTAGCAGGAAAAACACAGCTGCTTCAGAAGATGGATGAAAATGAAAAAATATACATTGGAAGATTTAGGTTATAATCAAACCATGAGAGAAAATTAGAACATCCCATTAAATATTCAGTTCTTTTATGAGAAAAAGTTTTACAGAACAGATCTGCTTTCAGGTTCCAGTCATTTGCATGGTCAAAACTTTTGAGACCACTTTTCCAGAGGCCTCAGATCAAAAATATGAAATATTTTTCATTTTTGATAGGATTTTTTCTCAAATCCAATGGAAATATCCAATTTCCAAATGTCCAAGTGGAAACATCTGACTCATTTTAAAGAAAATATTTTGAAGTATTCAGTTATTATTTATCTTTCTGATTTGAAAATTAACATAAGATATCCTTATGTCTGAACATGTTTTATAGCATAAGGTATCCAATTGTTTTTTCTCATGACCCTAAAAATTAAACACTTGTGATGCCGTACTTGTTGAAATCCAGCAGCTCATTAGCAATCTGTGTCCCAATACTCCCGGCGTATATCATAGTTCCAGATGCAGAGGAGATGCCTGGTATAACTGGAAGGGACTTCTTGCACTCTGTAAGAATATAAGTAAGATTAAGATTCAAAATGCTTATTTTTATATCCAAAGGCCTTTTCAGGCTAGGTTTATTTTTCTAATTCAGTTTGAAGCAACGAAATTTAATTGATTAGAGAACCAAATGTTTCTAACATTATTCAAACACACCGGTGAAAGGCCTTTTTGTCCAGAGTCACATAGAATAAATGCATTTCAAAGGTTTCAAAGAGTCTTGAGGTGGTTTCTGCTGCTTTAGAAGAAGTTGGCTCCACATGTTATACAAGGGTCTTAAAAATCATGTAGAACGCATCATTCATTTCATTAATTTTCCATTTAATAGCTATTACAAGAGAATAGAAATAAATTGCCAAGTATAAATTATGAGCCTGCTTGAATAGTAAGGGATTTTATTTTCTATCGGTTCCATAAATAATGAGGAATAGGGCCGCCAGTCAACAGCTCTTCATCAAATAGAGCTGTCTGAAGCTCTATTTGAAGTTTCAAACAGCTCTTTTTGCTGAATAGAGCTCAAATAATTGGGCTTTGACAAGCCCAAATATTGTTTGTTTGGGCTTGTCAAATAAATAATAAATTATCCAAGACTAAATGAAAATTGTTTGAGGCAGATTTGTTTTTTCTCTACATCTTACAAAAATTGTGGTTTTATTGCTTTTTTTAAGAATCAGGGGTTCAGCTCAACTTGAATTTAATGTTGTGTACAGACCAAACAGTTCGTAAATGACCCTTTTGTTAAATTTTTAATGTGTGGCTCCAGTCACGTTGTAGAAAAAACCCAGAAACACTAAAAGGTGGAGGGTAAAATAAACACATGATGTGGAAACTCAAATGTCAATTTCAATGTAAGAAGAAACGAAGTCTAAAATAATCTTTTTTTATTTTATTTTCAATTAGCTTTTTTCCCCTTCTGGCTTTTAGTCATCATAAAAGCCAAATCCATACTTTTCAGTACTCACAATAACTGTAATAAATAGAAAAATATGTGTGGTTTTCACCACATCCAGTTGCAGCTACACTCCTTTCAAGACTTTGTTCTGCAGGAGCCTTTTTCTAGAAATTAACTCGAGTATTATGACAAAACTCTCAGGCACAACACATAATGTAGCTGAACCGTTAATTAATTAATTAACTAACAACATTGTTTAGATTTCCACTTAAAAACAAACTAATTGATTCCATCTTTCAGTGTGCACCAGTTTCTTAAACATGCTCAAAGTGACCTAGAAACATTTCTAGGTCAGACTTAGTTCAACGGAAAAACACACGTCATTCACACAAAACACCGACATGCTCAGCTGCAAGGAAAATCATAGAAGATGCTGCATGCATGCATGAAAGCTGCACACAGATGTAAATCAGTGATTGTTATGCTCTCACCTTCTGAAACCTTGGAATTGCCCGACTGCTCAGACTTGTGTCCAGACCGCCCTGTTCGACTGTTGTCAAACCTTATCAGAGGAGGAGAGAACAGGAAGCAGATGGTTTTCTGAGCAGCCTTGTGCAGATATGATCAGATGAAGCATAAAATGCTGCAGGCATATACTTACGATATTACTGTGTTGGTTGATACTATGTATTCGACTTCTTTGTTCCAAGGATTGACAAAACTAAACCACTGGCTTTGCAGAGTGACAAAAGAACCATATTTTGTTTTGAATTTATAGCAGTTTGTTTCTATTTTCTCCCGACTTCGCAAGACTGTAAAGAGGTGACAAGAAGAAAAAAATGCAAAACAAACAACATATTAGACAAAACATACTACGTGCAAAATTACCAGTTTGGAACAATGAGAAATTTGCAGCTCAATATGCATCGCAGCAATGTTGAAGCTGGTGCATTTTATGCAGCAGAGACTTTAGAAGGGCTTAAAGAAAAAAACTAACCAAGACACGTAGGTTACCTTTTCGATGTCGATCGGCTAAATGTAGTAAGTCATCTTGATGGAAGTACTCGTAGCACGACGTTCCCAGCAATTCTTGGGGAAGATAACCCAGAATGGTTGTTGCTCTTTTGAAAGAAAAAAGTTCAGACATTGAAAATCTGCAGAAGGAGGGTGTGTTCATAGAAATGTAAACAAATACACAACATTTCTGGGTTTTTTTTGTCCAAACCTCTAAAAGTGGGATTTGTAATGCATTTAGACATAAATCCCCGCTCTCCTCCACTCGTGTTTCAAGTTACACGTTTTCCAACCATTTTATGAACACCATGATGTTAAACAGCGCAGGTCCGTTTCTTTTATATATGGAAATTAAGTAATAAAATATACTCGCTTCTTTAACTGTATAAAGCATCTCACTTAAAGAATGGTTAAAATATCTGAAATGATTTTCAAAATGTAGCCAGCAGTAGTCCATCTATAACACAGGTATCAAACTCCAGTCCTCAAGGGCTGATGTCCTGCAGTGTTAGATGTGCCACTGGTACAAACCGCTGGAATAAAATGGCTTAATTACCTCCTCCTTGTGTAGATCAGTTCTCCAGAGCCTCGCTAATTACCTAATTATTCTATTCAGGTGTGGTGCAGCAGACCTAAAAGTTGCAGGACACCAGCTCTTGAGGACTGGAGTTTGACACCCCTGGTCTATAGACAAAATACATCATCCTCTAGGCCATCTTACTCTCCTGTAACAGGAAATTAAATTTACCTTTGATCAACAAAGGTGAATTTTCCATCCATGGCGTAGCGTGTAACAAACTCGGTGGGTTTAACTCGGACTTCTCCGTTAACTTGTGGAGCTGAGTGTGAGTGGACGCGTCCCACCGCCACCAGGCAGCTAAAGTAGGAGCTGTCCTGCTTGTCTCCCTCTCCTTCCCCCTCTGCTCCCATCTGACTGGTTGGCCAACTACGCATATAGCCGGTGCAGTGGACTGTGCAGTATTTCTGTGACTCTTAAAAAAAATGTAAAAAATATATGCATTAAATATCATAAACAATATGCACAAAATAAAATCCACCTCTGGGGGTCATTTGTGAAAACTGCCAAGCAATTTGTGATCACCTTTCTTTTTAGAGGTGTTTGCCTGGGTTTTCTTTTCTTCAATTTTCACAGGTATTTTGTTGTACTTCATGCGACAAAAGAAGGAGCGCCGAGCGCCTGAGCACAACCGCGACGCACCGATGGGAAGGTCAGCCTGAACCTGCAGACCAGCTGCAGATACCCAGAGTGTTAAACGCACTGCAGTAAGTAAAATCTTTTGACCTCACACACACAGACAAAAATAAAACGCTTTACTTTTAGCATCTATTAGCCGCTCACGAGGGTGCAATTCAGAAGCAGAGAGTTGCTCCTTCACTTTTCCCATGTCCTTGGGGTGTATATAGTCAAACAGGCTCTGTCCAATCAGCTCCGCCTAAAGTAAAAAACACAGCACACTGCATACTTAGACAAGACGTCCATGTGGATGACACAACCAACAAATATACCTAATTTAAACAAAGCTGACAACTAGTTTCGAAGGACATTTTTACTGAGGACTTCTGTCCCAAGAGCACACCAGACAGGGTGTAAAGATGGAAATAAGTCAGATTCAGATATTAAAGAAATGCTATTAATGTTACAGTATATTAATTCAAAATTAAGTCATAATTCTTGTAACATTTTGTCACATTACAATCACAAAGTGTAATATTTTTGAATGGGATTTTATGGCAACACAAAAGTAGAGCATAATCGTTAAGCAAGCATAAGGAAGGTCATACAAGTCTGAAAATTGAGACTGGCATCTTTATTTCGATAAATTTAAAAAGCAACAAAAATGGACAATTTAGCAAACAAAATCTAGCTATGTGCAATTTAAATTTAGTAAAATCTAGACTGATCTGTGAAGGAATCAAAATACATAACCACAAAGATCAACGGACACAGAAACTTTCTGAACATGTGAAAGAACCAAAATGACACTTTACAACTCAATGCAAAATGTTCTGTGAAAACCAACACAGAAAATCCTGAATTATGAACAGTGTAACATGGAAGAGACAGCATAAATATTAGAGTTGCCTTCTTCTGCAGGGGCTGGTTGGAGTTAAAGACCTGAAATATGGGGCAAAACATGTCACACATTTGAAAGTGTAACAGAGACTGCAGCTGTTATTTTTGTTGCTGTAACTACATACCAGGGTGTTGCATTTACCTGTCGCCTGATTTTTATTTTCCTCTTCACAATTATGCACCACTTTTGTTGGTCGACCACATAAAACCCATTCACGTTTGTGGTTGTAACAGGATATGGAAAAGTTCAGTGGGTATGAAATCACAAGATACATCAAGTTAGCAGAAGTATGAAGATTAAGATCTTAATATGGCCAAACTCCTAACAGAAATGTCCATTTATAAAAACAGTACAACCATAACTATGAAGCACATATATAGTGAATGAATGTTTTAGTTTTAACTAGCAGATCTACAGCAGGGAGCATGCTCTCTTTTAATCTCACCAATATCTCATGGATTCCCCTCTATCCACTATGCAGACATCATAACAAAAACCCATCTAGTGTGTCTGGTGTTTTTACATAAAGCCACAAAAACAGCAGATTATGCGACAAATGTAAAAGTGTTACCCGACTATAATTTAATATCTTTGTGACGGACTCTGAGACAAAAACTATTTTCCCGCGATCACAGCCCACTACAAACAGGAACCCATCTGCAGCCTGCACAACAGAGACAAGGAAAGAGCAACAGTCAGGATCTGCTCAAGACAAAAGCACAAAGCCATCAGACTTTTGTAAAATGCTATACATTGTAAATGTAACTAATGTAGTTCAAAAATAAAGAAAAACTAATCTAGTCCACTTTACTGCTTTGTAATTGATGGAAAATTTTAATGTCCTTAAAACTTTGATCACATGCAAACGTGTTTTACTATCTCATGTTTACTTTGAGGACAAGATGTTTAAGCTCTTCATCGGGAAGAAATGATGGCTTGGAGCTCGCTTCAGAAAAGGAGCTCGCTGAACCTGAAAGTACAGATAGTTTCACAATGTAAAAGGCTTAAAATTTTAGAAAAAAAACAAAAGACGTTAACAGGACGTGCATAGTCTCTGTCAGTTAAGTCTAAGTTCGAAATATTTTGAACTGAGAAAAGTAGGGCTTACTATCCTTGATTACTACTACAGGTTATGGATGTGATTTGTACCTTTGAGGGATTTGAGGTGCTGCACTGCCATTCTGAGCACAGTGAGTTTGTCCAGTTTACGGGACATGGGGTTACATGTGGGGATCATGGCTGAAAGTTTGTCAATAAGATTGTTCATTTTGTCTCGTCTCCTCTTCTCAATTTGGCTGTGTGGTTCCCTGCAAAGACATTTAAATAAACATGTCACTGACAGCACATTCTGGATTATTGAACAATAAGAGACATTTGTTTAATCTGGGGTTTATTATAAGATTTTTCTACCTGAAGCATTTAATTTTGACATGTTGGTCCTCTCCGTCTGACCTGTGGAGAGAAAATCACCAAATTCACAAGGATAGATTACATTTATTCTGGAAAAATGTACACAAAAATATTTGTTTCCTTTTAAAAAGGAGCAAAGCACCTGTTTTGGTCATCTTCCATATCTGCATCGCTAATCATTGCCAATTTTGAATCCCTGAGAGGAGAGTACACACATAATTTAACAGAGTTGTTTTTTTGTGTGTGTATTTTACTCAGATCAAATGTATGAGTACTAACTGGTTGTCCGTGCTTCCCTTGCGCTTCCTTGGCATGTCCATACTCGAGGACATACCGGATGTTATGGATGGGGTCATCAAGCTGGGCAAAGAATTGCTCTGTTCTTCCTCAACCAGCACATCATCTGGAACACAGACATCAAATGCTCTGAAACAAATCCTAAATGCTAAGATCATCATTTATGTGCAGCAAGACACAGGGAGCTTAGGGTTACTGAGGTACAGCAAAGTGTGATAAAATTCCCCCCAACAGTTCATGTTCCTTTTTTTTCAAATAGCAAAGAAGGCAGCTGAGTTTTCTCAGGCTGTGAGGACCATAAACAAACTCCCTCAATAGTTGCTGCACAATACCGGTCAGCTCCTCACACCTTGGTCACAATTTGTTCTGACTGCTGCCAGACGGCTCCTGCACTTTCCTACAGGAACTCCTGAAGCTTCAAATCCAGTGATGAAAATGCTCAAACATCACTGCTAACATATCTATTGGCAGCTTTAACTAGTTTCTTCAAGCAAATCCAGGTGGTGACTTCAGTTTTTATTATCAAAACAGAAAATTACAAAATCAGGCCGTTCAAAAGTGGAACGAACCATCACTTATTTTGGCATTTCATGGAGCTTTACACCAGAAAATTTTCCTAAATCTACATTACTGTTAAAAAAAAAATCTAATTTCATTATAATTCCCCATTTTGGATAAAAAAAAAAGTTATTTAAGACAAATATAACCAGACTGATTACAATTAACTGTTTTAAAACAGTGATTAAAATTTATAGGATAATAAGCTTTCCAAACCAATCTGGCCCTTTATGAAAATATACATTTTCATAAAGCTAACAACTTGTTTTGCAATAGCAACACATTTATCTTTTATATTGCCATGGAGGAATTTTGGCCTAATTTTCTTTGCAGAATTGTTTTAGCTCAAGGACATTGGAAAGTTTTTATTCCTCGTTTCCACGGTCTAGCACGTGTCGGTGTGGTTTGGTACGCTATTTTCTGGTCTGGTGTGTTCAGGATGTGGGGTTCAGACAAATGCAGCAACAAACATGATGCACTAGGTCTCAGGTTTGTTGCAAAAAGTGAAATTTTTTTGGTCCCCGATCAATGGACTGTGTTGTATGAGGCCAAGAGCTGCAACATAACTGTACCGCACTATTTATCCAAAGGCCTACAGCAGAGGGAAGCCCAGGAATGGTGCGGTACGGGTTGTTCAAAAGCAACCATGTGTAATGAAGCATTTAAATCCCAAACTACTGACAGTGGCTTTCAAAAATGTGGTCAATTCTTCATATTTCCACATCTGGTCTGGTGCGTCATGAGCTGTAAGGCTTCTGAAACAATATGTGGGAGAAAAACTCACAAGAATGACTGGAAACAGACTGGTTTTTATTGATTACATCTATTTTTAACCATGAGCTACAAACCCTGTGACCCACATAGCCTTTAACAGATCAGCAGTGACCCAACTTCTAATCCGCCTCACTCTGCCAAGTTCTGCCAGATTACAAGTTTGCAAAGAAGCTAAATGACGATCAGACTGAACAGACATTTTTCCAATAAATCTTACAACCTTTATCTCCAGCTCAGCTGTTTACTTATAAGCTCATTCAATAAATTTCTGACTTGAGTATTGGCTGCACCTATACAATCCACAGCATGACAATCTGCTGCTTGATGAAAGTCTAATTTCATTATTTAATGTAAAGCAGCGGACCCTACATTTAAATCTTCACAGTGCTAAGATACTCGTACATTATTTCAAAAACAGGAATGCAAATAAAAAAAAATTTTTTGATTGCAAATTATTATGACTCAAAGATCTTAACTGAATTTAAATAACTGGAGAAAAGAAGTCCTTGAGTGCAGAACTAAAATGGCATTCTGCAGTCTTTTCTCACCATACAACCAGAGTTTTATCCATCCCTCTTCTGAGCATCTATTATTCAGCTTCCAGCCTCAAAACTCTGAAATATTTTATTTTGATTGCCTCAAATAGACAGATTGTGCCAAAGGTGGCGTGCCTGAAGGACGATCCCAAGGTTTGAAAGGCTCCATGAAACAAATACAAAGCACCCTATTCAGTTGTGAACACACCCTTTTATTCATTTTGAGCAAACAGACATGGCCAAACCTCTAACTGCCTGCTCAATCCTTTTCATTCTGATCAATTCACTCATACCAGGACATGTGAATGCATGGCAGCTCCTCAGTGAGCTTTCTTGTGTTAAGCTAACATTAATGTTTGTGTCACTCTGTGATTTTATTCATCTGTGCGAAGCAAACCAACATTTTGCTGTAACGCCTGTCTTTCTCTCATGTTTGCTTTCAACAATATCTGTGACTTTTAGCATTATGGGATCTGTGTTGATGTGAGCCTCTTTCACAGAAAGACTATTCAACAGGATATATATCTTATTGGCATGTTAAATATGTAGTCACGAAACTTGGAATATATTTGTGATAGATTACTCGATTTACATATCGATATCTTTGAAACATTGTGCTTGTCATTTCACCACTTTGCATGTCTTGTACTTCTACAGTATTTTTTTGTTACGTTTTTACATGGCAATTTATAAATGTTGTTTTTTAAGAACCATATTTGTACCTCTGGAGTTGTGACTCCAGAGGTGCTGAAACAAAAAAGATCCCAATGGTTTAAGTACTTTTAGTCACTTTTATTATTAATGCTATGCATCATGATGCGTTATAAAGTTTACATCATCTGTCTCTAAAATACAAAAGAAATTATTCTACTTTAGAGATAAAAATAGATTTGATAGTTTTATGACAGTCCATGAACATAACTCATAAAAAATTGGACTTAACCTAAATCCTCCCATACCCGACCCCTCCAAAAACAAAAAAGAACAAAAAACGAAAAACTCTCCGCTTGTTTATATACAGCGGTATAGCAAAGCATTGTGTGGGTATGAAAAAGTGAGTCAAATTGACCTGAAGTTTTTTCTTTTTTTTATCTTTTAGCAATGCATAAAGAAGGGCTTCTTTCAAGTACTTTTTTGGTTTACGGTTTTATTGCTCTACAGTAAAAACCTTCAATTTTAGATATGCAACAACCAGGCCTTTTCTAGCCAAGATTGATTTCTGTTTTTCTTTGAGGTCTGCCCTGCCGGTCCTGATGGACAACAGACGAGTGCAAATGTAAAACAGGAATATAGAGGAAAAGTTACTACCTTTAGTAGTAACTTATTTCTGTTTAAATGTGTCACAAACCTTTCCCTGGTTTTTACTCAACTACAAAAAAGTGCATCCTGAAAATGCCTGATGACATTTTGGGAATTTATTGATTTTGATGCAACAAAAGCAGAAATACGAGCATCAGCGCGTAGATTCGCTGATGCAGAGAGCGAGAAAGAAGTGGTTTTGAGTTGTACTTTAACGGTTTTGAAATTTTTCAGTTCATAATACCTGCATGTCCAAGTTTGACTGAGTTAACGGAATTATTTTACCGCACCAGCGCGGCTACGCGTGTGGAAGGATTGTCTTTTTGCCCCCCCCAGCGCGAAATGTCCTTATGTAAAGAACAACATGCAGGGGGCCTGTATTTTAAAACCACAACTTCTTAAAACTGCTGTACACCTTGAAATGAATAACCAGCCCAAGCCTGTTACACCGTAACAAATAAAAGGAAAATTTAAAACCTTAAATTTGAAACTGTCTTGCAACGGTTTGTCTGGACGGCCACATACATTTTAGGTGAAATATACTTATATTGCCTAAAATAAACATGTTAATTTTTTATATATTTTGTGAAGCATAATCAAAACATATGTTCATTTATTTTCAGTCATGTGTGACTTACTTGTCTTACTCAGTCTGAACTGACCCTAAAGCTGGTTCCAACAGTCCAGTACATCCAGTCCTGAAACCAGAACTGATTTATGTGACACTAAAGGAGGACTGGCTTCTACAAGCAGAGGTTCTCTGTGGCAACCTTAAAGCTTAAAACAAATAACTGATTCGGCTCCTCCATTGTACATATAAAACGCGTAACTACATTGTGTATTAATCAAAACTGATTATATTTGCAAACGAAGTGCTAAATAAAGCCGCTGTAACGTAATGTAACACGGTGTTCTCAAGAATACCACCTTAAATAAACGCATCCTTCGATAAAGAGCGATAAACACAGGCCCCGCTGCTGCTGCTAAGCTAGCTTTTGTTGTGGTTTATATGTACGGATTACCATTAATAGGAGCGAATAATTATATTTACAAACAATATGTTTTTAATATTTGACCTGTTTCGTTTGCGAAACGGCGGTGGTGTGACAAACAAGGTCGTACAGCTGTTACATAAATAGCGTAGCGTTAGAGGGCGAGCTTGCTCTACTGATCTACTGACCTAGTTTCGGAATAGCGCAAACTCCTCAGTTGAGCGGAGCAACAAACTGACAATAACGCCCCTGGAGCTCACCTTGTCAGCCGAAACCTCGATACAAGGCACCCTCTACTGCCAGCCTATACAAGCATTACCGACGGAGACGGCAGTAGTGCTGTGTTTCATTTACCTGCCGGTTCGCTTCCCGCTCTGTCACCGCCGCCAGCCGCTGCGTTCAGTGCCGACATGGCTGAAGCCGGAGCCGGTGCGCTGGGGCCCAGGACTCCAATACATGGATGAGCCAGTCGACAACCCCCGATGATGTAGGACAGGGCTGTGTGGGTTCCGCTAAATGTCGTAAAGCCGTTTTAATAAACTCGCTACAGGTAGAACTGAAAAGGGAATAAATAAGGATGAAGGAGTTTTGGAAACGTGACCAAAATTACCGGCGTGCTGTGCAATGAGAGAAGCGAGAGGGAAACGCGGAAGCAAGAGGACAGTCTCCGCCTCCCCGTTCACCGCCGCTGATCCCGTTCCCTTCATGACAGCCAAGAGCTGCCCCTTCCGGACTTTGATAACAGCACCTTAATTAATTAATTAGTAATGCTGGTATGACTGTCTGTAAGTCGGAATAACATTCCAATTTCAATAGCATTGAAATAAATAAATATACTACATAAAGCTTGCAGTTTTTCCTTAATATATTAATGTTGATAGATATGACGTACGTTTATTAAAAACGTAAAAATGTTGCAAAAAAATAAATAAATAAAACATTTAGCCAAAAAAGAAATTATATACAGTACATTCTTGTTTGGCCAACCAATAATTTGCTTCCATACCCAATTGCAGTAAAAGATCAAGACATTTATTCTGCTGAAGCTTCAGTCTTGTTGCCTCAATATTTCATAGTATTCTTTCCTCAAGTGCATTAGTTAATCCTGCAGCCAGCATCATTTCTTTGCAGGTGTGACGCAAACGACGTGGGCGGGTAGAGAACTGCGTCATCATGGTATGCAAATATTTTCTATTATGACATCATACTTGTTCGTCTTTGAACATTGATTGACGTACCTTTTCACACGAATTCTACCCAGCCTCAGTCCAGTTTTCCGGATTTTGGAGAGCGATCAGAACTTTTGTAGCTGCAGTTTTTTTGTGAAGTAAACCTAAGAAGAATCATTCATTTACTGAACAACTTTTCTTCTCTACCAGGATTTACTCAGACATTGCAATGTCAAGGAATTTTATCACATGTACATGTGATGGAGAGAAAGAGGAAGACTCACTCAGTGAGGAAGAAGTAGTTGAAACATTTACCTTGGAACAGAGATCTTGTCTCTGTGAGGAAGAAGCAGTTGAAACATTTACCTTGGAACAGAGACCTTGTCTCTGTGAGGAAGAAGCAGTTGAAACATTTACCTTGGAACAGAGACCTTGTCTTCTTGAGGAAGACTCTTTGAAAGAAGAAGACCAAACTGAGCATTACAGAGAGCAGGTTGAACTTTCGAAGATGAACTCAAATTCTAAGAGCAGTATCAAACCTAAAGAAGCCTCTTTTGAATTTCAAAATCTACTTACAACTATCAATTCCAGCGGTCTTCAGACAGAATTGTTTCGAGAGACTTTGGCTAAGGAACATTGGAAAAATCTATACTTTCAATCCCAGGCTTGGTTGTTGAAAGTGTATTCATTGTGGAAGAATGTAAGGAAGGAGCTCCAGGAAAATATAGCTTTCCTTGCAGTTGACAGCGCCTGTGATAATGACAGCAACGTTGCTTTGAAGAGAGAGATTAACATTCTATCTTTGGTTTTGAACGAACTTCATGCTCAAGCGGAGCTTTTGCAACAACAAGAAAACCACCCACAAAATATGCTGATTTCAAGAGATGCTTTAGCTGTTGCACTTGAACGAAGTGAATGCAGGCATTTCATATTCCCAGAGGGTGAATTTAAAGATGAGAATGTGCCCAAAGTACAGAAACCTTCTGTCTCTATTGAAATCTGTTCTTCAGGGCCTACGCAAAAGGAGATCTGTGTCGGAGAGGGTCAAACAAGCAACGACACAAACTATAGAGCTGCAGACACTGAACCTGTGGCGAGATGTTTTTCTGTGACAGAAAACTTTAGTGAAACTTCGGAGTTTGAAGATACAGACTGTGAGGTTAGGCAGAGACCATCTTTGGAGGAAAACCACAACAGTGTGGAAACCTTGAACTCACAAACAATTGTACCAGAAGAAGAAACGAATCAGGGATTTCTCCTGTTGGAAAGACAGTGTGATCACAGTTTGGGGTTAATAAAAGAAACAGCCAAAAAAAATTATTTCAAAAGGCAATACGTTAGATCACAAGCTGAGCTTTACAAGTTATTTTCAAAGTTGGAGAAATTCAACATCTGTTATGAAAAAAACATAACTGAGTTTGAAAATGTGAGTTTAGCTTGCATTAATCTTCAGAAAGAAATATTTAAAGTGAAGACAGAAAAGGATCATTACATTGACCAATTCCTTCGGTTCCATACTGAACTCTTGAGAGTGCATTCGATGTGGAAGGACTTAAAGATAGAGCTTGAAAACAAGATGCCAGCGTTTGAAAACCAATATTTAAGTAGCAATATTGACAGACTAAGTTCAGCTTTGGATGAGCTTCTGATTCAACTGGAACAATCGAAGCAGAACATCGACCAGTCACAATATTCAGAAATGGGAAATAAACAGCCTGAAAAAGGAACATTTTCTGCTGACCTTGAACAAAGTGAACACAAGAATCAGACATTTCTGGATTCTGAAGACAACCAATATGACGACTCTGAGGAACAGGACCTTAATGTCTCTTTCAGACGAATTGTTTCAGATTCGGCAGAAGACAAGATCTTTGCAATACAGGAGAATGTCGGTCAGAAATTTGAAGAAAACATGACTATGTCTGAAAGTTCAAGTTCATCTGGAGAAGACAGCTTTGAAAAGGTAGATGAAACCATCAAATTTGTACATAAACCCAAAGAGAAACCTTATAAGTTAGTACAGCCAAAAAGCAGATTTTCTGAAGAGACTGACTACGACAAGAAGAGGCTCCCTATGATTTGGGAGGAAGAATATGAAGTCTCTGACACTACAGAAAGTGAGCCAGAACAGATTTCTGGTTTGGAAGTTGAACTTGTCGAGCAAAGGCATTATGGTCAACGAAGCCAGGGATCTGAAATGCTGTGTGTTCCAGACGAAGTTCTCATCGAACCACTTTTGGAGAAACAGAAAGTTCATCATCTTGAGGCAAAGTTATCAAATGAAATGGTGAAGAAGGACTATTACAAAAAACTTTACAATAAATCACAAGATGTGGTCATGCAGTTGTATGCAGAGGTAGATAAATACAATATTCAGCATAGAGACAAGTCACCAGTACCTGAAAGTTTAAGTTCATCTCGAAATGATGACAATGATGACGATAGCAATGCTGATGATGAAAATGCAGAAGACAGCATAAAAGGTGTGTGGAAATCTGTAGCTAAACTTGACTTTCAAGTTCAAACGATCAAACAGTTAGTGGAAAAATTTAGGAACGTACCACAGCCAAAAGAAGTTATTTGCATAAAGGACAGTTCTGAACAGACTGACCTTAAGCACGCATTTGATGCTCCACAACCTGCACAACTGGACACAACAGATCCTGAACAGGATCATGAACTGATAACCAAGTTAGGTGTTCTTCAAAAGAGAATTTGTGATCTTGAGGCAGAGTTATCTACAGAAAAGGATCAAAGAAATCATTACCACAAACTTTACAATGAGTTGGAAGCTAAGCTCCAGAAATTGCACCCAACAATAGATAAAATGAATCACAAATCTGGAGACAGGACATCGGCATCTGACACCTCAAGTTCATCTGAAGGTTCTGGCTATGTTGATGTAGATCCAAATGCCAAATCTGCAAGGAAACCTGAATGTGCTGAAAACGTTGAGAAATTAGAAAAACCGAATGAAACAAATACAAAGAACACGTTTCTGTATTTCTCACTCTGCTCTGAGGAGAGTGATACCGAGACTACATATTTGGATGATGATCAAGGGGAACTTGATTTGCCTAACCCACAGCAACCTGGTGACACCACTGAAATCACAGTTCCTGAATCTGTGCCAGAGGACATCACTTCAGTTAAACCGACAGAACTTGAGTATATTAATCCTGAGGAGCATCCTGTGCTTGAGGACCGTCGTGTGCCCATACCAAAAGCAGACATAGTTCGTTATTTCTTTCATCAAGGAATAGTTCATTATTTCCTTCATCAAGGAAATAATGGTTTTGACGAACAATTGCTTAAGGAAAAGAATGCAAAGGACTATTACAAAAAACTATATGATGAAACACAACCTCAGTTGCATGCACTGCGGGACAACTTTCATTTGAAATCGGAAGAGATGGCAAAAGCAGCCAATGCATGCATTTACATGTTTTTAAATACTAGCCACAAGGGGATGCCTGTGCCTACTTCACGGGATTCTAAAGAGAAATCTGATGCTCCACAACCTGCACATCTAGAGACCTCTGCTGCTACAACTGAGGGATCTAGATACACACACCACATTAGCTCGAATACTAATTCTCAGCACTCTGGCACATCTTTGAACATCACAGCTCCTGAATGTGAGGTACAAGATACAGAAAGAAATAAAGAATCTCAAGGTTTGAGTCAATTAGAAGCAGAAAGAAACGAGGTATTTTCCCTTCATCACAGAGTTTCCACTCTTGAGACAGAGTTATCTGAAGAAAAGGACCAAAAGTACTACTACAGCAATCTATCGAATGAATTGCGTGCTGAACTCCTGAAACTGCGTGCAGTTCTAGAGGACAATGATCAGAAATTTAGACACATGCCATCTGTACTTCATACTTCAAGTTCATCTGAAAGTGATGGCAATGATTATGGCAATGATTATGAAGATGAAAATATCAAAGATATGTGGAGATTTGCAGGTGAACTCGAAAGTAAGGTTCAAAACCTTTCAGAGCTCTCTAGAGAAATGAAGAAATTAGTAGAACCATATGAAGCAAATCTGGACGTATTTTCTTCAGAGACGGACCGAAATGTGCGAAGCTCCACAATGTTAGATGCTGAGCTTGAGAATCAGGATGCGTATAGAGCAGAAGCAGAAATGACGGAGTTACTTGGCATTAGACAAAGAAATTATGATCTCGAGGAGGAATTGCTTAAGGAAAGGGATGAAAAGGACTATTTAAAAAAACTATATGATGAAGAACATTTTGAGCTGCTGGAGTTGCGTGCGATGCGGGACAACTTCCTTTTGGAATCTGAAGAGACGGCAAAAGCAGCCGATGCATGCATGATTGTAGAAGAGCCCGAAGAAACTATTTCAAATGAAAGAATTTCTTCTGACGATGAACACAAAGAGTATGCATCTTACACATGCACGATTGTAGAAGAGCTCAAAGAAACAATTTCAAAAGAAACAACTTCTTCCGACGTTGAGCACATAGAGTACACATCTTACACATTTTTAGTCACTGAAAATGATGATCTCTATGTGCCTACTTTAGAGGATTCTAATGTTGCAGCGGAAACTCATACTCCACAATCTACAAAACTGGAGACCTCTGCTTCTACTAGTGAGGAGCCTAGATGGACACGTGATGCAAGCTTGCATCCTAATTTTCAGAACTCTAGGAGATCTTCAAAGATCAAAACTCCTGAATGTGATCAAGAACAGATATCCACTTTGGGTGGCGGCCTTCTGGCAGGAACACAAGATACAGAACAAAGAAGAGAATCTCAAAGTGTGTGTCAACCACGAGCTGAAATGAGAGACCTTTACCGGAGACTTTCCGATTCTGATACAGAGGCATCTAGAGAAAGGGAACAAAAGGACTACTACCACAAACTATACAACGAAGCGCAAGCTGAGCTCCTTAAATTGCGTGCAATATTAGACAAGACAGCTGCGCCTGACACTGCAAGTTCATCTGAAGATTCTGACAATGAAAACATCAAAGATACGTGGACATTTGCTGATAAACTTGAACATGAGGTTCAAACCCTTTCAGAACTCACTGAAGAAATTAAGAAATTAGCAGAACCACAAAAAACAAGTCTGAAGGGCAGATTTTCTTTGGAGACAGACCAGAGTGCACACAGCTCTACATTTTTGGATGCTAAACAAGATGATTATGATGTACCTAATCTACAACACACAAGTGACTCTATGGAAACAACGGTTCCTGAATTTGTGCCAGAATGCAATTGGTGTTACGATTTCTTTTCAACACCAAAGAAATTTGAGGATACTAAATCTGAGGAGTTTACTATATCCGAGGAAGAGAAATATAGAATGTCTTTGGATATTCAAGTTCCAGAATTTGACCAAGAACAGATTTCTACTTCAGAGGTTGATATCCTCCAGCAAACACAATACATGGAGGAAAGAAATGAAGATGAACTCACCCTGCTGTCTTTAGAGCGACAGAGTGTTTATGATCTTCCAAATGTAAGTTCAACTGATAGTGACAGTGCAGAGTTTCTAGATTTTCCAACAGATGTACTTCAGCTTCAAATGGATTTGTCTGAGCAACCCGACACAATATCAAATCAAGTAATGCCAACAGAAGTAATTCCTGGAGTTACACCGGAAATGAGCTCTCAAGACTTTGCGAATTCTGATTTGGGTACAGCAGATGAAAATCAAACTGTGGAAGACTCATATGAAGTGACAACTCCAGAACGTGAGCAGGTTGAAATCATTACTCCTGTCAGGTGGCAACAAGAGCAAAATCAAGACACATTTTTTACAACAGACAGAGATGCTGCTGTGGAAACAGTAATTCCAGAAGAGACCTCTGTCTTTGAGGCTGAGAATAGTGATGTAACATGGCCTTCAATCCTGGATGAACAATTTCCAGACATGGCTGAAACTGGTGAGGTTTCAGAGACTACGTCGTTGGATATGTCATTCTCAGAACCTGAGGACGACTGGTTGAACCGAAATGAGCAACATCATCGCGCCTCTTCTCACTCTCATAGTTTGACTCGTCCATTAGAGAGACAAAGTTCTTCAGAAGGATTAAGACAAGATGATAGCGTTCAGGAGAACCTGGTGGTCAGGCGGCGGACCACACCAGCAGATCTTAGACTTGACCCAGCTGAAAGCACCCATAGTGTGGGAAACAGAGTGTACTTAGCTGTCAGGCGTAACCTTCCACGTCTTTGGCATTCTTCAACGTTTTTCATAAAACAAATTATACTCACACTTGCCTTCTCCATTTTGGGTGCATATATATGCCATGAATATATATTCGCGAGACCCCACTTTGACGTGAACTACGGTATCTTCAAACTATTGGAACCCTTCTGCACCTTTGAAAATGTTTTACCAGTTCCGTTCTAGCCTACAAGAAAGCCAATGCATTTCTTTTGGATAAACTTAGAAAAGCCCCCCAAAAAACAAGTACTATTGCCAAAAAAAAAAAAAAAAAAAAAAAAAAAAAAAAAAAAAAAAAAAAAAAAACACATTGGAAGTTCTTAATTAGAAGACAATGACAAAGGACCAGGATTGCGGCTAGAGCGACTTGACAGGAGGAATTGGAGGTTGGCTGTGGGGCTGGAGGGAAACATGAGGAAGTGCTGGAAGGGGGCCCTGCAGCCAGCGCGACACATACAGAGGACCTGGACCTGGACATCTGCCCAGGATCTGAACATCTTGCGAACAGGAGGACCTGGAGGTTGACCTTGCGGCTGGAGAGACCCACCAGGATGACCTTCAGGTCAACCTTGCATTTAGAGGGACCTGCAAGGAGGACCCGGAGCTCACCCACCTGGTGAGACCCACGAGGAGGACTTGGAGGTCGTCGGGGTGGCCAGAGTGATCCACCAGGAAGATCCACAGAAGGGCTGATCTAAAGTAAAACACAAGGCTTTTCTTGTCACATAAAATAAGGAACAACAGAGGCAACACAATCAAAACCTATACAATCCAAGTCCTGGTTGTAAAGGTTTTTCTCTAAAAATATCCAATTAGGTAAAGTTAATTTGTCATGTCAAATCTGTTCTGGACCAGAAGGTTCAAGAAGGTCCAGAAACAGAATCAGAAGGTTCTAGACCAGAACCGGAGGGTTCTGGTCCGGAAGGTTCTGTCCAGTAAAGGTCTGGACGCGACCTTTACTTATTCAATTTGCAAGAACAGGTTTTTCTCCAGGCGCTCTGGTTTTTTCCTGAAAATCATTCACTTTGGTCGTCTGGCCAATGTTAAATTTCCATTGGCAAGTCTTAGGGTCAGGGTTTGGAGGGAAAGCAAACTCTGCAGTTATATTTCAACATTAAGGGATGTAGCATCTGGACACGAACCGGAGGGTTCTGGTCCAGAAGGTTCTGTCCAGTAAAGGTCTGGACATGACCTTTACTTATTCAATTAGCAAGAACAGGTTTTTCTCCAGGCGCTCTGGTTTTTTCCTTAAAATCATTCACTTTGGTCGTCTGGGCAATGTTAAATTTCCATTGGCAAGTCTTAGGGTCAGGGTTTGGAGGGAAAGCAAACTCTGCAATTCTATTTCAACATTAAGGGATGTAGCATCTGGACACGAACCGGAGGGTTCTGGTCCAGAAGGTTCTGTCCAGTAAAGGTCTGGACATGACCTTTACTTATTCAATTTGCACGAACAGGTTTTTCTCCAGGCGCTCTGGTTTTTTCCTTAAAATCATTCACTTTGGTCGTCTGGCCAATGTTAAATTTCCATTGGCCAGTCTTAGGGTCAGGGTTTGGAGGGAAAGCAAACTCTGCAGTTATATTTCAACATTAAGGGATGTAGCATCTGGACCAGAACCACAGGGTTCTGGTCCAGAAGGTTCTGTCCAGTAAAGGTCTGGACATGACCTTTACTTATTCAATTAGCAAGAACAGGTTTTTCTCCAGGCGCGCTGGTTTTTTCCTTAAAATCATTCACTTTGGTCGTCTGGCCAATGTTAAATTTCCATTGGCCAGTCTTAGGGTCAGGGTTTGGAGGGAAAGCAAACTCTGCAGTTATATTTCAACATTAAGGGATGTAGCATCTGGACCAGAACCCTGTGGTTCTGGTCCAGAAGGTTCTGTCCAGTAAAGGTCTGACCATGACCTTTACTTATTCAATTAGCAAGAACAGGTTTTTCTCCAGGCGCTCTGGTTTTTTTTATTTTTAATTTTTAATTTTTAATCTTTTTATTCGATTTTTACACCAAAATACAAAATATGCAAAAAATTTATAAACAAAGTATATAGACTTTTTCTATAACAAAACCGGACATAGGACATATAGAACGCATACATAAACTTTCCCCTCGGGAAAAAAACAAACAAACAAACAAACAAACAAAAAACACACAAAAACAAACAAACAAACAAAAAAAGACGGGGGGAGGAATTAAGTAAACGTGTACATCAATGGGTATTAATGACAAAATAAATTATTTGGTAAATAATATAATAAAATGTAAATAAAATTTAGTTGGGTACCATACGGGACGGCAGCGTCTGAATAAAATCAAAAAACGGCTGCCAAATTTTCAAAAAATTAGCTGAGGAACCTCGAAGGGTAAATTTAAACTTATCAAGTTTACTAAAGTGTAAAGCATCTTTAATCCAAAATTCAAATGAGGGAGGTAGAGCTGATTTCCAGCATAGCAAAATTCTACGCCTCGCCAACAGAGTGAGGAATGAGACCAAATCAGCCTCGAGTCTTGACAAAGAAACCCTCTCAGAAAGTACACCAAACAGTGCAGTTAGTGGGTCAGGCTGGATGGACATGTGTACTGCTTCAGACAAAGCTGCAAAAATATTTGTCCAATACTGCTTTAATGATGGGCATGACCAAAGCTTATGAATCAATGAGGCAGGTGTCTGATGACAGCGGTCGCATTCCGGACTAACGTTTGAGTATATTTTAGAGAGCCTGGCCTTAGTCCAGTGAGTGCGATGCAGGATCTTACACTGGATTAGTCCATGTCTGGCACACAGTGACGAACCATGTACCGATGAAGAATTATCCCACAGGTCATCTGGAAGCAAAAAACCCAGGTCCTCTTCCCATGCCGCTTTAATTGAAAGGATTGGGGATTCATGAAAACAGCACAGCCTCTCATACAAACATGATACAATGCCCTTTTTCGGTGAAGGGGGTAACAGAAGATTATCCAACTCATAAGCAAGAGGCTTATATGGAAAAAGAGAAGTTTTTTTCTTAACATAACTTCGGACCTGTAGGTAACGAAAAAAGTGGCTCTTTGGAAGGTCAAACTTAATAGAAAGCTGGTCAAAAGAAACAAATGTACCCTGGTCATAGAGGTCACTAAAGCTTTTGATACCATGAGAGAACCAAACAGAGAAAGCACTATCAATCATAGCGGGCCGAAATAAAGGGTTCTTAAAGATAGGAAATTGTAAAGAAAAAGAGTTTAATTTAAAATAACGGCGAAGCTGGAACCAGATTTTCAAAGTCTCTCACCATTTTATTGTTTGGAATTTCAGCACCAGATAGCAGTTTGGGAGCATAAACTAAAGCAGACAAAGACGATTGTATACAGGAGGAGGGTTCCAATTTCAACCAAGCCGGGGCACTATCCAAATCCTTTGCCTTTGACCAGTAAATAAGAATTCTAATATTGGATGCCCAATAATAAAACATAAAGTCCGGCAGTGCCATTCCACCCACACCTTTTGGTCTCCTCAGATATGACTTACGAATTCAAGAGGGTTTATGACCCCAAATAAATCCAGTAATAATTTGGTCCAATTTACTGAAAAAAAGAAACCGGGATAAAAACAGGGATACACTGAAAGAAAAAAGAAAATTTGGGAAGCACGTTCATTTTAATCGTATTAATTCTCCCAGCAAACGGATAAATGAAGCAAAGACCATCTATCCAGGTCCTGTTTGACCTTGTCCACCAATGGTTCAAAGTTAAATTTAAAAAGTTCGCAGAATCCACTCTTGACCTTAACCCCTAAGTATGTAAAACCATCAAGGGCAATGAAGGGAAGAGAAACAAGTGAATATTTTCGAGCCACCGAATTTATTGGAAAAATTTCACTTTTACCAAGGTTTAGCTTATAGCCAGATATGAGGCTAAAATGATCAAGAGTTGAAAGTACAATAGGAACTGAAGTGGCTGGTTTAGAAATATAAAGAAGCAAGTCATCGGCATATAAGGAAAGCGCTCTGGTTTTTTTCCTTAAAATTGTTCACTTTGGTCGTCTGGCCAATGTTAAATTTCCATTGGCAAGTCTTAGGGTCAGGGTTTGGAGGGAAAGCAAACTCTGCAGTTCTATTTGAACATTGAGGGATGTAGCATCTTTTGTTCAGAAATCAAGTTTTTAATAGGTAATTAGGTAGATACATTTTTACCAGCTGGTATAGTGAATTGACTCTATATAAATTATCTTAAATAAAGGATCAATGTAGCTTCTTATAAGTTATTGTAGCCTGTGCTACAATACCTTATAACAAGTTTATAATCAGTCGTTCTGGACGAATCTAGGAGCAGATTGTTACCCTGATACGACTTTTTAACCACTGGCAGATTTTAATGACTGTAGCAGTCATCCAACCATTGTCTACATGGAAGACTCTATCAGGTCCCCACCAGGTGGTCTTGGAGGTCTTTTTGGGGGTTTTCATTTTTGATTATATTTCATTTGAAATATAATCTGTTATTTATACAACCCAAGTCTGTGTTATTTTAGCAATGTTTCTGTCATGTTTTGATTGGTTCGGCGAACCCACATGCGCAGAACACACTCAGGAGGGAGACGTAAATGCGGTGAGATTTATTGCAACAACAAAATGTGAGGTATGTTGTGGAGCGGAGGTTGTAGGGAGAGGAGCAGGCGACGGCGTTGCAGGAGGGCGGATTGGAGGAGCGGTTCTCAGGAGCCACACGGAGGATCAGAGCTCACGGTCTCGATGAATCTCCTGGCCAACGGGAATCCAGGTGGAACAGACTGCCAGGAGAACACGGAAACAGGGCCTGAAGGCGGATGACAGGAAAACCGTTAGGAAACAGGTCAGGTTGGTCTGAGGTTAACTTAGCACAGGCTCTACCATAGGCGAGCAACACTCTGACACTGGAGTGTTGGCGTGATCCTCCAGAAGTACTCCTCCCGATGAAGTAAGTGGCCACAGGTGTGCAGGAGGAACCACCAGTCACGCCCCCCTGCAGTGTCACGACGCCCCCTGGAGGAGAAGCTGAAGACGCATCTCCAGATTCACAACATAAGGTAACACTATTTGCAAGGGTGTTCATAAGCAACTTTTAGTCAAAAGAGTCATTATTTACAGACAACAGTCATAAACATTCACAAAGACTCAGCTGCTTGTCTCTCATCCCATTATAAAAGCTTCTCACTATCCAGTATCAAATTCTCCTGTTTTTCCTGTTATTTTCCCCAACTTTCTGCCATTCATTATAGCTCTTTTTATTTAGCCTTGTGTCTTTTTGTAACTTGTATCCTTTTATTTCAGATAAAAGCTTAAAAAACAATACTTATTGTTATTTAAGTTTAAATTAATTATTTAAAGAATCAATTCTTTAAATAACTAATTCAACAATTAATTGTTTAATTAAAGAAATAATTAATTTTTAATTAAAGAATAATCTTTTAATTAAAGAATTAATTCTTTACTTAAAGAATTGTTCTTTGATAATAATACTGATAACAGTAGCAATTAAAGAAGTAGGCTATTCTTTATTTTTTCCTGTGACATTCCGCATACTTGTTCCTTCTGCCAACATTACACCCTGGGAGGGTCGCCAATTCATCATAAGGCAACACAGACACACAGGACAAACAAGAACGCACACACTTAAACACAGTTTGGAGAGACCAATTAACCTGTCTAGAAAACACGCACACGCACAAGGAGACATTAAAACTTAATTCAGAAAGACCCAAGGCTAGGACTCAAACACAGTAACTTTTTATCTGCAAGACAACAGTGCTACCAAGCGCCACTGCGCAATAATGCGCAATTATTAGGCAGTTTGATCGTTTCCACTTCAGCCACTTCTTCTTTCCAACCGCTAGAGGGCAGACATGGCCTTTGACACGTCGAAGTGTTTCTGTTTCAATCCTGTTGCGAAACTATTTTCTGTTTGCCAAACCTAAACTGTTGTTGCAGTACAGAATAGAAAATAATCTCTTCTGTGAAAAGAAGAGGTTATGTAAAATCAATTATTCTAGATTATTTGATTAATAATTTACAGACATTTATGATAAAGTGTGTTTGTGTAAAACCTTGAACATTAAGTTTGAAAAGGCAAATGGAAAATATCCAATTGGTTTATGAATTATCAGAAAGAACTATTGTGCTTTGGAGAAAATAACCTTATTTACCAGAAAGTGCTCAGTGTGCAGCTATCCAGTGGAGAAGAGAACCACACAGCAGAAACTGGAGAGTTAAAATTTTAGGGTTAAACATGTCAGAGTTAATTTCAACTCAGTAAGTTTTTTTTTTTTTTTTTTTTTTTTTTTTTTAACATTTAGCGATTTAAATGATGCCCGGTGTTGGAGTTATTTCGCAGAGTTGATTGCTTTGGTGTTGAATCAACTCTGCTGGGAGATAAATAAGCTCCTCCCCTCAGCTTCAGTTTGATTTCAATCTGAACACGGCTTCATTTTGTTCATCTCCTGTTCTACACGGAGGTACCTAACTTACTAAGTAGTTTCAGCACTATTACATTGACAGAGTGAGTGATTCGACTATTTCTACTAATTTCCACAAAATTGAAAAGCAGCTGAATATGTCCATTTTGCAACAGTTTTACACAACATGTTAGCTGGTAGCTAGTAGCACTTGCACCTGATATTATTATAATGGTAATTCTTACAAATCATATTTTGTACGACCATGCACTCGTAAAAAATATACTTCTATGTTTTTGCCGTTTGAAATGATAATTTTGGCCTTGTGAATGTAAGCTAACGACTATTAGCTTCCGTGGAGCGTCAACGAGCCGAAGTCACGTGACACCAATAGCAGAGTTAAAGTGAGGTGAACTCTTGACCTTTACCTTATTTTGCTTTGTCCAGGTTTATCCCATGCTGAAATAAAATGCTGATCCATCTAAAGTTTGGTGAAGTTGGAGGATACTTCTCATGAAGTATCATGAGAAAGGTTTGTTATTTATTTATCATCTGTGTGGGGCATGGGCATTATTCTTTTCAATGTATGTCTATTTTACACATATTTTACACATTTGTGGTAAGTAAAAATTGTATTTTCATTAATGTTTTATACTAATCACATGATCAATATCAAGTAACTGTTAATTTTTAAAAATCCAGTTAACTACAGAATTAGGCTCTAAATCTTGCCTCGTTTTTTTCAGTCATTGAACGATTTTGCCTGCCACCTGATGCCAAAGTTACATTCAAAGATGCAACAGATACTGAAGTTGACAAAGAAATATTCAGGGACCTCCTTAGACAAGGAGGTACTGACAGTTTTCTGCTATGATGGTGAGATACCAAAGCAAATTAAATCAACTGTTATACAGATTTTACCAAAGAATGTAACTGATGTCTATTGTCTCTTTCTTCAGAGTTCTCAGAATGGTCATCTGCTTCTGACTTTAGCTTCAACTCAAATGCATCAACATCAACAATACTAATGGATGAGATGCCACGCAAGAAGCAAAAAACTGAGAATCCTGATAACTGAGTGTCTGCTAAAAATGTAACACTATTTTTTGTCTGCCTCTAAATTCTGTTTTGTATGCCCAGACATGTTTTGTCATATTTTGGTAATCTGCATATTGCATATTTCCTTTTTTTTTGTCTTTCTTTTTTTATTGTTCATTTTATAGCTGGTTGAAGGTGTCCTACAAAGCAAGTCTGGTGGTGAAGAAATTCTGCAGGAGTATGAAACTACAGAAACCCTAACTGATGCCACAAGAAGACAAATGGTGAACATACTGGTGGCTCACATGATTGATGAACACGGGTATGTCTGTTTTTACACTATTTAATTTATGTATAATAATTGAAAAAAATGTTTAATCACCAATTTAAAATCTGCTGTTAGGCACCTCCCCACTAAAGCAATCAGAGAGAAGTATGGCTTTGGAATAGTGACACTTTCCCATCCCTCAAGGATCCATACACCAAAAAAGGCTATGTAATGTTTTTTTTGTTTTGTTTTTTTTCTACAATCAATCATGCTCTTTTATTTTGTGACTCAAAACTATGATTTTGCATTTAATTTTTGTTCTTTTTTTAGGAGCACTTTTATGATGCACCAAGCAGCACTGGATACATTTCAAGGCATCTTAAAATGGTCCAAAGGGAGCTTAGGACCATTTTGTGCCACCAAATAGCACCAATTACATTTCATATGGAGGCCCAAATATACAGAGAACTGTGATTGTTGAAAAACAGCTTGATGGGAATGCCTGCCAGGAGGCCATATCTCTGCTTAACCACACCACAGACACGTCTGTGATCTTTGAGAAGATGAGAGAGACTTTTGAGCACCATCACAAGCTTATTAAAGATGCCAGTGGAAGAAATGATATCCTGACAATGTTCCCAGGGTTCCTGGACACAAAAGGATTGGTTAGTGTTCAACTGAAGTCTTTAAATGTGGATTTTTACATTGTTATAATGGTTTGATTTCTACATGTTATTAAAGATTGATCAAGACTTCAGTTGAAGAAACCTCATCCAGACTGCTGCAGAAGTGGGATGTGTTCTTCAAACCAAATGTCATCAAGGAGGCTAAGCGTTTCACTTCTACACCTGAGTTGAGAAGTTTGGTGCAGTCAGCGAAAAGTCTTCAAAGCGATGACCTCGCTAACACATCTAGTAAGTACCGAGATATATCTGAAGATAGTTGACTATTCAGAGTACTCATAAAGTTCTGATGTTAAAGCTAAAACTTTTATAAATTTGTCCTCAGACTATGACCAAGAAATTACCTCGCTGTTACTTCTTACATCTTCTTCCACCGCAACCAGGAAGACGGAAGTCTCCAAAAATCAGTGCAAGTGATGCAGTTGAGAGACTTGTTGTCTTTCATAAGGTAATTGAAATTTAAAATATGCAAAATTATTTGTCTATTTCCTTTTATAGACACGCTTAAATACAGATGTTTGAATGACAGCTTTGAAGATGTCTGGGCATACTCAAATTAATTTTTATGTCACATGTATCGTAAAGCTGTATGTTTTGTTTCTTATGTTTGGTGTATATCTTTTTAATTTTAGTCATACTGCAGTTTGGAGGAGGATCTCCGGGGTCTGCAGCCATACCTCCTTGCTGTTGGGCGTCAGAAAAGAAAGATTGACAGCTTCTACATCATCATGAATAAGTGCCTCATCCCATGCCAGACAAACAGTTCTCTTGGAGCATTTGATGAGCTATTGAAAGCACATTTAGTGTTTAATGTCTCTTATGACGCTGCAATGATGAATTTCTATACATTTCTGCAGACAACAGTGTATAACATTGACGTGGGCAAAATGAAGGAATCGCCCAGAGTTAGGGACGTGAGAGCAAGGCTGCTAAACCATGTTGACCTGTTTTATATGTCAAAAACTGTATCCAAGCGGATGCATTTGATCATCATCATCATGCTTTCAGAATTGTTCAAAGTGAAGAAAGGCATTTAGTAAAAATCCCTGAACTTAAATTTTATAAGCCTTTTGATACTCAAAACTCTTATGGCGTTTCTAATGAATGTTTGATCATTGTACCACAATTTAAAATGTTGGAAACACAGCTGCAAAAATAAAGTGTTCAAAATGTATGTACTTGTGTCAAGTTTTTTTTCTTAATAATTATTATAATTAATCATAATCTTAAAGTAACTTCTTTTGGAATAAATAACACTTGAAAGTGTTAAATCAACACTAATAAAGTGGTACATTTTTGTTCCTGAATCAGTGTTATCCAGTATATCCCACAGTATTAAATGAACCCTGTTTTGTGAGTTAAATAAGTAACTCTGATAAAGTGTTAAAATTTTAACTATATTGAAAGTGTTAATTTAACTCCTGATGAGTGCGGACTATATAAACACTGAAAAAGTGTTAAATATTTTATTGAATAATCTGCGATTGGGAATATATTTGCAGCATGGATGGTTCGACGTCCCTTCTGTTTGTCTTTCACTGCCCATCATCCTAAGATGTGTTTGTGTAATATTCACAGATTCACGTCAACTCTAATGGACTCTGTCGTCTCGTTATTATCAGATAATGTTAATGATGAAACATTCTGGATATAAACAGATTTTCATCACAAACATTTTATAACTATTAAAAAACAGCATACACAGAGGGGTTGTCCTGGATTTTGAAGGCTCTGTCTTTGGTTTCATACTCTCCCATTCTGCTTCACAGCAGTCCTCTCCTCAGCATGTCAGGCTTATGCATTTTTCATTTGCTCGTCTTCTGGGCAGCTATCAAATGAATCAAGCCGGATGGATAGAGGTGGAGCTGGGGAGCTGATGAAGAGGATGGTGTGTGAAAGCGAGGGGCTGGGTTTGGGGACAACCACTAACACCTGCCCCCTCCTCTCCAGGAATGAATGGGTTATGAGATGAGAGGAGATCGGGACGATTTATTCTCTTCAGCTGCAGAGAAGAACGGGGCCACAATGTCTCGGGACTAAAACCTGGATTTCACACCTCTATTTTGCTCTTCCTTTGTTCAAAATCACTCCTCAATGGATCTTTTAAGGACGCATACATTTCTGATTCTGTTGCATTTAGGACATTGAGGTACACTTTTGACATCACACCCGTCCACTTTCCTCTTCTCCACGGATCCAAAAGTTGGAAAAGTCCTCATCATCTCATCATCACTTTGGGACTTTTAGCAGGTGTCAATCCCAAGTAGTACACGGTGAAGGAGGATGACAAGCGGCGTCTAGTGGATACTTTTTTCTCGTTTTCTTTATAAGAGTGACTAGGATTTTGTTTTGGGATAAAAGAAAAAAAAAGAAACAGAAAAGATGCCTTTTGATTTTGCAGGTTTGAAAAATCAGGTGCTAAAACCTGGGAAGGAGGAGGTCAAGAATACTGTGGGGGATTCTTTAGGAAAGCTGCAAAGGTGAGAGGGTTAATTTTTATGGAAACTTGCAGAAATCAAGCCTTATGGCTGCAGAAATGGTGCTGATGACGATCAGCCTAGGGGATGAACACGTAACATCTTCTGCCATAAGAAATCCTGGCGATACAGAAATATCTGATTCTATTCTTTGCAGAGCGATGCCAGTGATGTAATCACAGGTTTTATTTTTAGGCAGCAATGCATATTTTACATCTAATACATTTTTAACAGAAGAATGCGTCAGTGGTGGAGAAGCTTAGAAATGTATTCAGACGACTGTCTTTACTTTAGGAAATAAAGTGGAGGATTGTTTAGACAATTACAGAAACACAGAAAATAAAAGCACCATCATTATGAAAACAGAAGACATTTATAGACCAATGTGATGGCAGACGTGTTTAGTGTGGGTGTTGGCTTAGCATTTATTCAAGACATAATTATAATAATATCGTCATAAGACTATAATTAAAAAAAATTGAGATGTAAAACCTAACAGAATTACTACCAACATTTATATTTCCACTATGTCAGATAATAATTCTAATAACAGTAGCAATATGTATTTATTTGTTCTCAATTTATATCATAATTTAATAATTATGATGATCATCATAATTGTTACAATTATTTTGTAATTTTTACTACGCTTCTCTTAATTTCTGTCTGAAACATAAGATCCTGGACCTGGAGGGAGCGACAAAAAGAGGCACAGTGGAGGCAAAAACATAGCAATAAATAGAATACTATTTATAAAACAGAATAAAAAATATAATACCGTATACTAAGGGCAAAATTTTAACATAAATACAGTGTAGTTATAAAACTATTACTCCAATCTCAAGGAATGTGAAATGGAGATTATTAAATAAAAAAATATTTACAAAATGTGCTTGTCTCTTTGAGCTCTGAAAAGATATAATATTTACCATTAGTGCCAATAAAAAGACTCTGCAGCAAGAAAGTTGCAGATGTGAAAGAAATGTTATGATTCATCAAAGCTTATTCTCAAAGCTTTTCTCAAATTTGTGCAGGAAAAAATAAATAAAAATTTTAGCAGCCCTGTGCACTGTGGTGGTGCCTCTGATTGCTTGGTAATAGGCGATCTTTTGCTAGCTGGTGTGAACCAATCAACAGAGACAGGTTGATTCAGGCGGCAGAATAAATGTAAAGAATGAGAAACGTTAAAGAAATCTGATGACAGCAGATTACTGATCAACATCCTTATCTTTCACCACTGTTTGCTGCTGATTTTTGCTAACACACCATATAAATAAGTGTGACGTGAAAATGCAGCAAGCTGAACAGATCACCACTCCCTTTCACTCTTTAGGAAAATGGACGGTAACAATGTTGAGGATGAGGAAAACATTGAACTGACGGAAGATGGACGGCCGGTGGCGTCAGCACCACTTCCTGCCCCCCTGCTGGACTGCAGCTGCGGCGGTCTGCCCAAGCGCTACATCATTGCCATCCTCAGCGGCCTGGGCTTCTGCATCTCCTTTGGCATCCGATGCAACCTGGGCGTGGCCATTGTAGAGATGGTGAACAACAACACGGTCTATATCAACGGGACGCCAGTGATTCAGGTAGATTGAGACCAAACAAGCTAACTGAACACTGTTTTATTTTTACTCTTTGGCTTTAAAGGTTTAAAGATTTCAATGTCTCAATCTCTGCATCTAGTAAAAGATGATTTACTTTTATAATTCCTTTAAAAATTTTTTTACTTATGAGTATGTCCATTTCAATAAATTATATTACCACCAAATTATTTATTTATTACAGTAATTCAATTCCAAACATGAAACCTGTATGTTTAGTGGCATAGCTTACGTGAAAGGCATCCTGGATCAGGCCCTGCTGCTGGTGCCAAGCTCATTAAAACATAGAATGGACGACATTTCTGCATGAAACATCTAAGGCAGTATCAAGTGGCTCCGATGCCTTATTGATCGCATTTAAGGGATTTAAATCTCATTTTAGCTTCTGAAATATTGCTTTTGTTTCAGGCAGTCATAACACACAAAAAGGTTAATGTTCACTTTTTTCATAATTCATTCTGAAAGGAATTCGGATTAGTTGCCACCTGATAATCAAGGGAAGCAGTCTGTATTTTATTCCCCAGATTATTGAAATTTTATTCTCATTTGTTTTATGAATTCCATTTCAGAAAGCTCAGTTTAACTGGGATCCAGAGACTGTGGGGCTGATCCACGGGTCCTTCTTTTGGGGCTACATCGTCACTCAGATCCCAGGCGGATTCATCTCCAACAAGCTGTCTGCCAACAGGTTGGGGTGCTGTCAGTGTCGTCTGTGTTACTGGTATTAGTGCTGGAAACTCAGCTTTAGCAGAAAAAATGCACTTTTTCACAAGGCTGAACTGGGTGTCACCCTGGTTATTCTTAAATAAGAAGCATTCAGTAAATAAGTAAGAGAACTAGAATTAGGGAGAGCTCTTCTTCATGCGGTTTAAAGGGTTAAAACTGTTTGGCGCGGTGAGCATTACCGATGGTGCAGATAGCAATCCTGTAATAAAAGCTTCACAGGAAAAAAAGGACACACTACTGACAGAGTTAATAATGAAAGATCCTGCTTCTGATTTCCTTCTGAAACAGCAGCAGCTGGAATATTACAAGTGTCACTTACACGCTGCTTTGGGAAACAAACAGAGGACAGGGATTTTGGGTAAGAGGAGCTCAACAGCACCGTGGTGCTGGAGCAGAAACTTGTGGGTTGAACGGGATGTCTTTTTGTCTCACTCAGTGAATGACGGAGGCGTCAGATGTGTCAGGCTGTAAGGTTGACTGAGACACTTTGACAGACAGATTCAGAGATGTGGTGCTTTATAAGTCTACTGCAGCTTACAGACACACACACACACACACACACACACACACACACACACACACACACACACACACACACACACACACACACACACACACACACACACACACACACACACACACACACACACACAGTGTTTGTCAAGCTTTCACCAGCTGCCTAAAGATTTGGTCAAAGTCACAAATATAGGTGCAGCTCAATAAGTTCGAAAATTATGATCAACAAAGCATGATCAATATTTGCTCGAATAAATAAAGGATTGTTTCAATAAACTTCTAATTTATATATATATATATCGTATATATATATATATATATTATATTCAATATATATATTATAATTATATATATATATATATATATATATATATAATCTTTATTTAACCAAAAATGTCTCATTGAGACTAAAAATCTTTTTTTAAAGGAAGAAAAATAATAAAAAGCAAACACAGACATAAAAGTAGTAGTAAGTCTAAAATAAAACTTACAAACTGATTAAGACTGGCCTTAAATGCATTGAAGGAGACAATTTCTTTCAGCTTTAAGTCTTTCTGCAGTTGATTCCAGTCTGAGGGAGCAACAAACTGGAAAGCAATTTTTTTTGCAAAGATCAGCGCAAAGCGACCAATTAATAAAATCAAATCACCTGAGCGCAGAAAATAAACACCTGAAAATGTAAGGGACAAGAGATGCTGCCCCAAAGCAGTCAAACAGAGGTACTAAATCTGAGAGGAAATGATAAATCTTGATAAACAAGATTTAATTTTGAAATAAGAACCTAGCTTCAGCTTCTTCTTTTTTACAAGCTGTTGAAGGTAGAGAACGAAGCCCGGGGAATTATCAATTCTAAAACCTAAATAATCAAGAAAGGCCCAGTGAAGGTTTATTTTCCCAAAAGCATTTTCATTGAAACACATAAGCTATTCATTGACGACTCTTGTTTTCTTCCCAGGGTTTTTGGGGCTGCCATTTTTCTGACATCGGTGCTGAACATGTTCATCCCATCAGCTGCCAGGGTGCACTACGGCTGCGTCATGTTTGTACGCATCTTGCAGGGGTTAGTGGAGGTAAGGAAAGAAAATAGCCAGCTAATAGAAAATTAGCAAATTAATTTAGGTTCCTAGAGCAAGAGAGAGACAAATGATAAGCCAGGTCACCCTCTACCAAGCACTGATTAAGCGTGAACCAGGAAAAATAATCCTAGATTTGTGTTGGGGTGACACATCATCATTCCTTATACGCCTTAGCGATGAGTGTTTTTATTTTCTTGTTCTCGCTGTAATGTATGCCATGCTTTTGCTGACCAAATCTATAGCCACATAGCTGTTTCTGTGGTCCCTCTGAGCTTTACAGAACCACAGAAGTAGAATTTCAAAATATTATTTTATGAGTCAAATCAACTCAGGTTTTATTTAAGGCCAGTTTACATCAACATGAAAAGATGCACAAGTAAAAACTACCTGTGTTAATAAGTAGTTTTATCACTGCTTTCATAACCGGACCATCGAGGTCATTTATGATCTTTATTAGGCTCGAAGTGAAAATGAGTTGGACACACTTGCTCTAGTGTGTCCAACTGATTGTCAAGCGTTGGATTCATTAAGAGCAACATGACAGAAAAATACCAGGAAAGTTGGAAACATGAGATAATCAAGGAATTCCAAAGTAGGAGAGCTAGACGTTTTATGCCGTCCTCAAACTTATACATCCAATCTGTGTCTTTATTTATGCTTTTTTCATCTATTGAAAGAATGATCACCTATTAATAGTTGTGCTTTCCCCAAAAATTGGTCTGAGACTTAAAAGCTTGTCTCCTTTGCATCCCCAAATCAGTCTTTGAGCCTTGTCATTCTGTTCTGTACTCCCTTTAGGGGGTCACCTACCCAGCGTGTCACGGGATGTGGTCCAAGTGGGCTCCGCCTCTCGAACGCAGTCGACTGGCGACCACATCATTCTGCGGTGAGTCACGTCTCTCCTTTCTTTAATCTAACAAAAAGCAGCTCTGAGCTTTTTCACCGTTCCAAACATCTTTGATGCAACCTCCTCACAAGTCACAGGGAGTATGGCAAGTAAATGGACGTGAGTGGGCTTGCTTTGCTTTGCAGATGCTGACCCGTGCTGCCTCTGTTGAAATTTGAATAACAGTGTCGCACTTTAAATTGGTACCATGACAACCCGTGCATCAAAACCCTCTTGACATTGTCTGTAAATGAACACGGCTCACCTGTGTGAACTGAAGGAGCTTCCCTGTCCATTCACCTAAATGAAAGTGAATGGACTGCTTAATGTCCAACAACCCTCTCAGCGTTGCTGCTCTATAGAAATCAGCCCGACTCATGAGGCGTCAGACTGCAGAAAACAGTCTAAAACACCCTATCAGTAAGGGCAGCACTAATGACTCATTTTGATGGCGTTTGCTCAATGACTCTAATGCATGTCTTTGAATTGACTTTGGTCATTAAGACACATTTGAACTCCCTGGTGTTGGTGTCTTGTATTGTAATCCTGCATAAAACAAACAAACAAACAAAACATAACCAAGAGAAAACATGTTTTATGATGACTGCCACTGAGATGTGACGACTGACAGTGATGCTCGATGTCATCAGGTTCCTACGCCGGAGCGGTAATCGCCATGCCTTTAGCTGGAGTTCTGGTGCAGTATGTCGGCTGGTCGTCAGTCTTCTATCTTTATGGTGAGGAGCAACAAAACAAACACAAAATTCCCCCAACGAACATCATTTACACATTTTAAGTTGTACTAAAACAAGTAGAAAAAAAAATATTTCGGTCCAATTTTGGTAAAAATATACAAACAAATCCAGTTTATGTAAATAAATTTACAGCCAATTCAGTCCAGAAATCAGATTCCAAGTCAGTTACATACACATATGGATCCTATATATTGACAATATCAATATATATAAAACAATATCATTAAATGTGGATTATTACACCAATTCTTGAAAAGTCTTTACCCACAAGGGAACCCTGCACATTGCATCAAGTCACTAGTGTCACAGAGATCCCCACTTTAACAGGACTAAACCTTCAGAAGTCAGAGGAGTTGTCTGCTGTGTCCAGCTGGTGGTTAAATACTTTTGTCTCTGCTTGGTATGTAATAATTTACATAATTTATCAATGCCAAAAAAAAAAAACCCAAAACAAAACAAAACAAAAAAACTACAATAAAACCCTCCCAAACTATCTCGGCTGGTGTAATGTTTGGTTTCTAAATTTAATAACCTCATTAGAAAATACACTAGGTCTGTTTAGTAGAAGGGAAATATACAGTTTAATTTCACTTTAGGTTCTTTTCATAATCAGTGTGCGACACGTTGCTCCCTGCTAGTTGTACTCTGTCTGGTTTTGCACCTCGGTTTTATCTAAAACGCTTCAAGGTTTGATTAAAATGATTAACACTCACACGAAAAACGTAACTTCGCCAACGTATTTTAATAAAAAGCCACTCTGATTTCACCGCGATACGATCTCATGATTTATTGATGTAAATTAGCATTTTCCTGTCCTACCTCTGTGACTCATGCTGGGACTATTTTTAATAACGGAAATTCCTGTGATCCAGAGATGGTGTGTGCTGGGGTTTAATTAATTTGTCCCACGCTCACTCATTCATACTTTTATAAAAAGCTCTGCAGATAACCACAGTGTGAATGTAATCTGCTCTTGTCTCGTTTTGAAGGCGTGTTTGGGATCCTGTGGTATATCCTGTGGCTCCTCCTGGCTTACGGGAGTCCTGCTCAACATCCCACAATCACTCAGGAGGAGAAGATGTACATCGAGGCTGCCATCGGCGAAACAGCCAACCAACTGAGTGTTACAGAGGTGTGCATATTTAATAAACTGTGGATTTCAGGCTGTGTTTTAAACCTACTCACACGTTTGACCTTCCACAGAAATTCAAGACCCCATGGCGTCGTTTCTTTACCTCCATGCCGGTCTACGCTATCATTGTGGCAAACTTCTGCCGCAGCTGGACCTTCTACCTGCTCCTCATCAGCCAGCCGGCATACTTTGAGGAAGTGTTTGGCTTCCCCATCAGCAAGGTTAGCCTCACTGACAGCGTTATCAGTTTTAAGATTAAAAACTTCCTACAGATGCATCAAAAAGCATTCAAACCGTTTTGAAAATTAGGTCATGTGTAATTTTCCACACTTTTCTCCAATTTCCTCTTTCCTAACTGTTTGACAAAATGTTGCTGTCCTCCTTTTTCGAATAAACTTTTGCATCCTAAAAGATTCCTCTTGGGATGCAAGAAATGTATCAAAGTCAGCACTTAGTATCACCTAAATAAATATAAATGATTGATGTAAGTATGGGTGTTTTTAATGTATTAGTTATTCAATGTGCTGCTTCTTATTTAATGTGTCCAGGTGGGGATCTTGTCTGCCGTCCCTCACATGGTGATGACAATCATCGTCCCTATCGGAGGGCAACTGGCGGACTTCTTACGAAGTAAAAAAATTATGTCAACAACAAATGTGAGGAAGCTCATGAACTGTGGAGGTACGCTGATGCAACCATTCCTCAATGTTCTTAATTTAATGCAAACCACTGAGGACCATTAAGATCTGCTGAATACACAGAAAGGTTCTTATTCAGTTTGAAAGTTTATTAATTTGATCATCTGATTGAGCTGGATTTTAATAATAATAATAATAATAATAATAATAATAATAATAATAATAATAATAATAATAATAATAATCCCTTTACATTGGCTAATTTTTGTCTTTCATTTCAGGATTTGGTATGGAGGCCACACTTCTGTTGGTTGTTGGATTTTCTCACACGCGAGGAGTCGCCATTTCCTTCCTCGTGTTGGCTGTAGGCTTCAGTGGATTTGCCATTTCAGGTTTTTAAGACCTCAAATCTGACTCTATTCAGAAACAGTTTGGAACAAGGTGAAAATATGCAGTGAACAGGATTTGCACGAGAACCTTTATTCTGTTTTTAGTAATAATTTGAGTCTGGAGAACCACCAGTTTCAATTTGTTGCAGCATAAAGCAGTGAGGCTTTTGGTGTGGGCTTCTCTAGGAAACCAACAAGTTCAAGTGTGGATGTAGATCTGTTTTTCTGTCTTTGTGTTCATTTCACCTCAAGGTATTTATGCTGCATTTTTAGGTTTTAATGTCAACCATTTGGATATAGCTCCTCGTTATGCCAGCATCTTGATGGGCATTTCCAATGGAGTTGGAACGCTGTCTGGAATGGTGTGCCCCCTCATTGTTGGAGCTTTGACTAAAAACAAGGTAAAAAAATCTCTAGATAATGCAGTGCTGTGAAAAAGTATTCAGTCCCTTACAGATGACTTCTATTTTTGTCAAACTTAAATCTTGAATGAATATCAGATAAAAATAAATTGAGTTTACAAAAACAGTTTTCAAATGATTGTTCAGAAAAAAAAAAAAGAAATTAATCAACTTCATTTTGGTTGTTTGGAGCCATGCTGGTATACTTTATGGGAAAATTCAACTGTGTGTTGAGTAAGAGTTAAGAATCTCCTTGTGATTAATTAAAAATAATTAAAAACGATTAAAAGTACTGACTCTCTGTTAGCAAGTCTGTCAGATAAGAGGGCAGTGGGAACTGTGAAAGGAAAAGGAAAGTTTTGAAAAATAATTAGTGGTTAATTTATTATAAAATATTCAATATCTTTATGCAGACATCACATTTGGCAACATGTTTTGCAGTTTTAAATTAATATACATGATTTGTCTAAAATACCAGATGAAGTTTTTGCTTGGGCTCCATGTAAGTTTTATATTATGAAACAGACACAAAATGTCCCATAAACTGATGTTTGTGGATGTATTTTGTATCATTTATTTGATCAATCCCTACATTGTCTCTGTGTAAACCTTGCAACTATCCTAAGCTTTTATTTATAATTTAACTTACTGTTACCTATATAGTCTGATCTCAGTATTTCACCTCTGAGCGATCAGTGAACCGTCTTCATCCGTCTTCCCACAGACTCGTTTGGAGTGGCAGCATGTCTTCATTATTGCCTCCATGGTGCATTACACAGGAGTCATCTTCTATGCTATCTTTGCGTCAGGAGAGCAGCAGGACTGGGCCAACCCCGAGAGCTTGAGTGAGGATAAATGCGGCATTATCGATGAGGACGAGCTGGCGGAGGAGTCAGAACTTACCACCGACGGTGGCCTGGCTTCCAAAAAGAGCTACGGAACCACAGACAATTCATACGGTCGAAAACAGGGATGGAAAAAGAAGAGAGGGGTCACCATGGAGGGGGAGGAGGAACACTGTGGTAACGGGGACTACCAGGATGGGTACCAGTGAGACAGCAGGAGGATTACAATTAGAGGACTTCCAGAACACTCGGGTGAAACTGAAGGTCTGATTTCACACCGGAGGAGGAGTTCAGGGGAAACAACAACAGCAGCTGCAGCATCAAAAGCACCACAAGATAGTCTTTTTCAGCTATCAGTGAAGAATGTACAATACTGTACAATTGTTTCAGACCTTCTGTAATTTCTGAATATTATGTTTCAAGCTGATGTTTTGTGATTTTTGTCTTCAAAAATCACAGTCTGGCTCCTTGGAAGCAAAAATATGAAGAAATGAAGGTCGACTTATGTTTTGCACAGTACTTTGGTTACCTGATATGTAAAAAAAAAAGAAGCAAATATTTGACATTATTTTAAATTAGAGAGTCACTGGAAAGACAGAATGTGTCTATCACACAAAAATACAACTAAGTTACAAATTTGACATCTGTTTTGTACAAACCAGCATCACACTGAAGATACATGAGCAACACATATCAACTTCCAAACCAACCTGTAACCTTCATCCTGCAGGTGACGCTGATTGCAGTTTATGTTAATCCATGTGGACGGTCCATGAGACGTTTTGTGTCCGCTATGCAACCTGAAAAAACCTGAAGGAATGTAAAGATTAGATCTCAGTAGACCACAGTCTGTATGGAGTCAGTCTTATTAGGGTTTCCTGTGTAAATCTGCTGTTGCTGAATGGTTGCACTGCTTTGCTTCTTTGAGCCGGTTTTAATTCACCATGTGCTTGGATGGAAATCATCTTTAAATCAGCGTTATTATTTACGGAGCTCTAGGCTCCATATTTTAGTTGGACAAAATGAATGTTCAATGTTTTTTTTCTTCCTCTTTTTGTCTACATGGTGATCCAGTTAGAAACACTGAGTATTTTGCTATAATCACAGAAGAATGTGTAAAATGCTCAACAAAGAAAATGTGCTGTACATTTGAACATTTTAGGCTTGATTTGCACACAAAACGTCTGGTGTAAAAACAAATAACTGCATTATTGAAGATTATTGAGATGGTTTATGGATTACGTCATGAAAAGTTTTAAGGTTCTGGATTAAGAGATAATGTCTATGTGAATGATGAACTTTTTTTTTCTTTGTGAAATCATGAAAACTTGAAAAAGACTTTATTAAATGACTAATTGCTTGGTTATTGAAATGGAAACTGAATTGAATGTTTACCTATTAATCAATATCTTCAGTTATAATTCACTGAATTGCAGGACGGTATTCGCTGCCCTTTGCAAATTGTTCTCCACCTCCAAACAGGACTCTTAGAATAAAAGCCTTAAAAATCCTCAAAGAACCTGCAGCAAGCTCTTCCTACTGTTATTCTCAAAGTGCCTACCTGTGTAATGACAAAGAGGCTGCACACGTCTATTTTTCATGGGATGTGTGTAAGGAGGTAATCTTTAGCCTCTAAGAAAACAGCAGAGCCAGAAAATAAGCAAGATTTTATGAATGATGTTTTCCAGACTGACAGGTTGTTAAAAAACAGAAGGAAAAGTAAAGGAGGAAGTGGGATGAAACTCTGTGACATGACAAAAAAAAAAAAAAAAAAAGTCCACCAAGGACACCAAATTGTGAAAATGTTCTAATAAGAAACTCATAATTTAATTGGAATAAAGATTGGATCTAATAATAAACAGTTGGATACAGTAAATCTGTGAATAGAAGCAAATGCTGAAATCAAATAAAGCAACTCATGACTGGTGTTTCTTTAAATTATTAAGATGTGCTCTTAATAATGATTGTTTATGTAAAGATGGTAACGTTTTTTTAAACACATCTATTTCCAGTCACACTATAAACATCCTCAGCGTTATCTGTCCTTGTGTGCCTGCTTCATAGTTACTAGACAGATTCTTGATTTCTACTTTTAGCTTCTTCTGCTCAAGACATTTCAGCTTGTAAAACTCTTTAAAAAAGCGTTGTGTGATTTGGCAGTGGAAAACCTGATGATTACACCCTTTCACTTTGTGATAAGGAATTTCAAGGTTATGGACTTTGTTGCCTGTTGTCCTTGTAGTGCTGTGTTGTACTTTCCAGTAACAACAATGCACTCGGCTTGGGATCAGAGAGAAAACCAGGCAAAGGGAGAAAAGGCAACTAACATCTGTAGGTTTCCTCACACTCAACTGTGTAAATGTGAATTAAACATGGGCTTGTTTGCATTGTGTTATTTCATTCCTTACATGCTCTTAAATCCTGAGCAGACAGTCCACAAACAGCAGCCAATGGCAAAGGTTCTGTTTATTTCAGGGAGACCGTCTGTTGACTCAGAAGGGCCTCTTCAGATGGAGCAACAGCTCATCAATGATTAAGCCGTCCTGTTTTAGGAAAAAAAAGAATTAAAAGTCAAAAAGGATTTCATTTACTGGTTTATATCTCATTGAAATGTAAAAAGATTTTTTTAGAAAAAGGCAGAGATCCTTCATCCCTGATAGTGTCCACCCCCCAAAAAATATCCTGAACCGATCTATTGACGGTCACTTTGCCTGATGAAATGGCTTGGGTCAGTTCAAGGACGCACTCGGCTTCAGAGATTTTCCATGACAAGACAAATAAAAAAAACCCAAAACAAACCCCGGATGTAAATAAAAAAAAAAAGCAGGAATATTCCTTTTTGTTTCACTTTATTGAAAATACTCCAGACTGCACGTCCACTCAGCTGTCTAATGATCACAGCAGTAGTTTGAGTGGCGCTAATGATGCGTATGGTGTTTGTGTGTGAAAGTGGGAATTCATGAGGAGGCCTGTTGACATGTTCTGATAAAAAGCACTGGGGGAGTGGGATGACATGGACAGGATCGGGCAGTTTAATTAATAACCACCACCCATTTCTCTCTCTCTGACCTCAACTGGTCGCACGTCCTCTCTCACTGGAGTCGGACACATGCAACTTATCGTTTGAATATCGATGGAGCTGTAGCGCACGCAAAGACGGAAGGAAAGTTTTCCACATCAGTTGGCCAGAAGAAGGTAAGAACTGCCAGAGGAAGAATGAGCGAAGGGTTGGGAATCTATGTACTGTCATGGAAAACAAATAATATTGCACAATTGTACCGACAGTCACAGAAAAGACTAAATGCAACTTATAATTCAGTTTTTAGAACCGACTTTATCACCTCAATAACTTTATTTTTTGTGATGTTACACATTTCTGACATTGCGAAGAGATTTGCTTCTCTTTTGTTTACAACATTAAGTTTTCACATTAACATTTTCACCTACACTGAATGAGTGAACGCTCCCAGGTCCAGTGGTTTCCAAACAAGTCAAATCACCATTCCTCCACCACCATGCTTGACAATGGATTTGAGATTTTTGTTGCTCTTCTGAAACAGCTTCTGATCACAAAGGAGGAAGTTGACAGATTTAGCTAAATGGTTGACATAAATAACTCAAGACTAAATGTGACAAATGATTTTTAAAATGAGATACTGGTTATAACCAGATTTGTAGTTGATTTATTCTTTGGACAAATTCTTGATTACGCATACAATGCAAAAAGTATAATAACTTTTTGCATTGTATGTAAAACTATTAATCAAAACAGATACAATCTTAGATGCTGTAATTTTAATTTAAAACCACAATTAGCTAAACATTAAATCCAGAAAGAAACATAAATTATAATTTTTTTGTCCAAATCGCCCTGCTCTATTTTCAGATATGACAAACTGAATTTAGAGGAAACTATGTGAAAGGAAGTAAAATAAATTTGTAAATTTGTAGACTAGATAGTGTGAAATAAAGAAAGTCGACCATCAACTATTTATATCTGGTGAACAGATATAAATCAATCGTTGTAGTCTTTGAAACATAAGTTGTCCCTATTTTGTTTATTTTCTTGGTATTACATCTATGACGTTTTTTTTTTCTTTTTAACTGTTTGGAAAGAAAAACTGAAAAAATATGCATCTCTGTCAGTGATTGAAAACAAGTGTTGGTGAAATGAGCTTCTCCCTGGACTTTTCAGTAAATAAAAAGTCGCGTAATCGCAATAATTTCTGCTTGTTTATTTTTCTTGCACAAAAACAAAAAGTGAAATATCATGCACCGTACCATATATCATTAAGCTTAAACAGCTCTTCTTTGCTCATCTATCCATTCTGATGCAACTTTGCAAGTAAAGGTGGTGCTGCAATATTTAGATAGAGTCATCGTTCTCTCGACAACTAAAACAAGCTGTTCTTGTTCAATCACTTCTTAATATTTCGGTTATTCTAAGTCTGATGTGAATTGTGCTTTACCTCACATGCTCTGTGTTTGGAAACATTTAAGTTGAACAAAGAACACAGAAATAAAAGAAAACTGTGATAGTATTGCACTGTTTCTGTTTTTGTACCTGTTTTTATCGAGTGACGCCTGTATCTCATTTGTTTGGTTTCATTGTGCAGTATTTCTTGTTTTTGGAAGGTATTGGCATGGTATTCTCCTGCTTAAATCTCATTGGTGTAGTACTGATTTTTCTCATGACTACATTAACGGTGGCTGTACATTTAGTTTTCATGTGGGACGGAGGTTATTGAATCCATGTGGACTGCTTTGTCATCTAAAGGGAAATTACATTGACTTGATTAAAACAATGTGGCAGAGCTGCTGATAAAGTCCAACGAGACCATTTTGTTACTTTGCATGAAGAATAAATTGAAGAGCTTCTTAATTCTCTAACAATACTTCTCAGTTTTACTTAATTAATGCAAAGCTTTAAAATGCATCACGAAAGCGGTATGTGCAGTAAGTGAAAAGACAGAAATAATTGTCTCCTTTGCATGATTTGCTCTTCCAAAGGCTTTGCAGTGACCTGAGCTTCATCCTCGTTCCTCTCGTTCAGAACCACGAAACATCTCATCCCTAAACATTTCACCTGGACCCGTCAGGTGGGTTGATGATTTATTACACTGTAAAAATCGCTGGGATCCAAATGGTTCACTGAATGTTTGTTTAAAAAGGCTTCAGCAAGGTGCTAAAATAGCATTTGAAATCTTTGTGCAGGAGCAAACAGAGACATATTGAAGCCCCAGTCTGGGATTTTGAAGAAAACCTTCCTGAATGAATGAGTGGGAGGGCCCCGAGATCAATGTGGTGGGACCGCTGCAAATCCCATCCAGCGATGAGTTCTCCATCTCTGAGAGCGCCCACTTCTTTGGTAAGTGTAGAAGGCCAGAACCACACAGATTAAAAACAGAAGAATAATCTCACACAGTAGAAAACTCAAAATCAATTTTAACGTCAAAAAAGGGAACATGGAAGTGACAGCAGGGTGAGAGTTTGGCACAATGCAAGAACAGGGGTAGGTGTGCTCACACTTCCTAGCATGAAACCGAAAATCTGCTGCAACACAGATTAATGTCATGAAGAAAGTTCTCTAACTGACAGGAGCTCTCAAAAGTTAATCAGGTATAAATGTGGATGTAAATGTGGATACCTTGTTAAAATACCAGGGTTTGGTGATGAGAAAATATTGATAATAATATCAGGCCACTCTACTTGATTATCCCACATTTGATGAATGATGGGTTTATTGGCGACTGAACACTGAAAGTCGCCAATAACAAGGTCAACAAGGTTTTAGCTCAAGTGTGTGCAAATTTATGCAACAGTGTTATCACACCTTTTATTTCTTCTACTCCTAATAGATCTACTTGATTTGAAAGAAACAGGGAATGACATTCCGTGTACAATGTTAGTGTTTTCTCATCTTAACAAAAGCACTGAGTTGAAAACTTGAATAAATCTCAGCTTTAAAATTCTAATTATTATCTACACAAATGTGAACAGAGGGTAATATGTATTCCAGGAAAAGCCGTGTTACACAAACTCCTGATCACACCCTTTACCCAATAAACCAGCAGAATAAATCATAAAGGCGTTGAAGGGCGGTCCTGCCTACAGCAATAATTGTATATGACTTTCTGTACAAGGACAGGTCAGTAAGAAGAAATGAACAATCCTCCCATCTTCTTTTGTTCTTATTTAGTCCAATTCAGCAGATCTTACTAATAGTTTTTCAGGCGACACAGCAACATGGCAAATATTTTGGGATTCTTCACCTGTCCAAATTTATACGTGACCCTGCAGATATACAGCCGTCATACAGTAGCAGTCAGTTTGTACTCAAACTCCTGAATCAACCAGCTACTTGTAATGATGTGAAGACATCTTAACTTGGTGGTTAATGAGTAGCTCCAGCAACCTTTGCTCCCCCCTCAGCATTTCTCAACCAGGCAGCAAGATGTTTTCACGTCTTTAGCAAGGTGCCAGATCGACAAGTATGAGTAGGAGATGATTTTTCTGTTAAAACTCGAGAAAGAGGCCGAACTACAAACCAGCAGTGGGGAGGTGGGAGAGTAAAGGCTCAGAAAGGTCTGCGTCTGGTTACATGGAGACGGCCATGGTCCAGACTCAGACATCCAGAGGTTTGTGATTCATCCTTCTCAACAAAGATCATGTCAGGAAAGCTCTTTGTTTTGATGATTTTTTTGGAGTTGTTTCTCTGTGTTGAGTGAGTTTCCCTGGACGTTAATTCATTATGAATTAATATCCTTATGAGCAAATTAGTGTCAGCTTGTTTGGAGTAATGTTACTGTATTGGCTGTCTGAAAGACACAGTGTACTGTGAGCAGGTTGTTAATCATTTATGGCTTTATGGTATTTTGTGCGTTGCCTGTGTGTTACTTGGACAGCAAATCTGATGGATTTTACTGGGAAAAGGTTCTTCAGGTTGTGACTTTAACATTGTCAACTTCAATTACACTGTAGTTATCACTTAAACTATAGTGTACTACAGAAGCTGTTAGTTTTAGCATTTTCTGTTTCATTGTCAGAATTGGTTGGATCATTTTGAGTTGCATCATTTTCTACTTCAAAAGTTGATTTTTGTTATTTAACTCTACCCCATATTCTGTCATCTAATTTTTATGCACAAATCCCCGTGATCATTATCTCCCTCAGATAAGGTTTTATCAGATACTCATGTTTTATTACCTTCTGTTTGAAGTAGTTTTGTTTTCTTACATGCTTTTATTTCTAGAGTCAGACCACAGAGAAATATCATCTAAACTGACTATAAGCAGTTAATTGTTTATGTCCCAGTATTCAACTTCCATTGACACTTAAACTCCACATTTATATTTAATGTTATGGTCTCTACCATTAGAGCTGAAGATGCAAAACTGAGCAGAGTGATTAATTTGCTGTTGTTCTGGACCACAACATGTAATCACCATTGAGCAGTTCTCTAAAACCTCTTCTTTTGTTCATCAGACATACTGGCAGATCAAGGCAGTCCTCTTCTGCAGGACCCTGACATCCTACCATTCACCACTTACCCCAGTATGCAGTATCCATCCCTGGAGCCAAACATGTCCACCACTCCATACTACTCCTCTCAGAACTATTACCCTCCATTCAGTGGAGACGAATGGTACTCACACATGGGCTTATACGAACTGAGGAAAGGACCCCTGGAGGGCAACTATGGGACTGAAATGGACGAGGCTTCTTCTGTTGTGCCGGCTGTTTGCAAGAGGAACCGGCACCTGAACCAATCTGGAAGGATCAAGGGGGAGGAACTGTGTGTGGTCTGCGGAGACAAGGCCTCTGGATACCACTACAACGCTCTCACCTGTGAAGGATGTAAAGGTGTGTGGAGTTTCCACAGGAGATACAGCACTGTGGGAAAGTCTTGTGTTATCCTTCGTCTCTGTGTAGTTTAACAAGAGGTTCTTCTTTTGTTCTAAAGGCCGAGGTAAAAAGATGTTTAAACATTATTCTTTGAATTCTTTAAGCTTGGCTAAAGAGGGTCAGTGAACAACAAATTTATAGTCTTGCCACAGATTCTCAGTTGGGTTTAGAGTTGAACTTTAACCTTTCTAAGACACAAATATGCTTCAGCCAAAACACTTTCCCCAAGTAAAAAAATCCACATACATCTCAACTGCATAATTAAGGAGGTGGTTATGCCTCTGAAATTAAAACTTTCAAGTTTGAATTTGGAAAAAATAACAGATTCTGAATGTTCTTGCAAATAATACCTACATTTCTTTTGAGTACCACTTAAGCAGCTCAAGTACCAACATTGACACTTGAATCCATGCTTGAGAAGCAAGACTCTTAGGCTGCGTTCACACTGCAAGCTGATGTGACCCAATTCCGATTTTAATTTTTTTTTACTCAATGCGACCTGTATCTGATCTTTTCATGACAGTCTGAACAGCACAGGTTGGATTCTTTTTGAATGCGACCCAGGCCCCTTGCATATCCGATACGTATTCAATTCAAATGCGACCTCAATGAGGATTAAGTTGTTAATATGCTACTCCGGTCGGAAAACAACTTCAAATATGTAAGCTGTGCTCCACCGTTAGCCTCCATGTTTACTTCTGCAAACACTGAGCCCTTCTTCTTTTTATGGCGGTTGGCAGAACACAGAACGCTGACGCTATTGCGCCCTCAACTGCGCATGCGGGACACTGTCAGGTCCTTTACCCGTTCAGACTGCGGAGCACATACAGGTTGCATATGTGAGGCAGTGTGAACTTTCTCCACAGTAATGGCTGTCTCTATAGCTACTTACCAAAACGCCAGATTTGCAGAGTCCTTGGATTGAAGTTTCCTGTCGGCCTGAGCTCTGAATCTGTACAGCTCAAGCTCTTCTTGTCTTATTAAAGCTCTACTGGACAAGCCTGTCAGATTAGGTGCGGTAGATTATATTTCTATCTCACCATTTCAATTTCAGGTGCGCGACTGAACCGAGCTCTGTGAGATTTACAAAGATTTCTGAAAAGCTCTTTATAACGTAACACTGCTTTTAGACAACCTTCTCCCTGACTTCTCTGCTGTGTTTCCTGACCTTCGTGATGATCTTTGTTCACTAATGCTCTCTATCACGAGAGATCATCACAGAGAGAATTTCATCTGTGAAAACATTGAAACACTAAGATAATTTTTCACCTGTTTTCCCAGTGATTTCCCACTTTGTGTTTTTTCTATTGCCTAAAATTCAAATTAAATATTCGATATTTTGTAATTTAAAATGTTGAATAATTTCAAAATGAAGATATTGGCAAGGCACTGTATTACCATGTGAAGTTTGTTTAAAACTCAGTTACATGCATCTGTAATATGGCATTTTCTAAAAGCTCAACGACATTTGCCCTACATTGGGTATGTCATATCTTTAGACCTTTGGGGCCTACTCATGACAGCAGTGTTTATTTCTACAGTCCAAACATCTGGGTAAGAATCACATGTGTGCATGAGGCAACAGAAGCCAGAATTACACAATATTTAGAAATCTGTGATTAAATGTCCCACCTGAAAGGACTTTTCTTTTCTCAAAAGAAAATCAGTTTAGCTTTATAAAAATTTCCTCAGGTGATTGCTTTTTAAGATTTTGAAACAGCAGTTTAAAAGTGCTTGTAAAACAAGCACTAAATGCTGTTGAGTGAATGTTTAATTACCCGCCAAGGACAGGAAATAAATCCATCCAGCCTACGACACAGGTCAGGTTTTGACGGACTGATGCTGACTTTATGAGAATAAAACAACTAAATGACTGTACGGAAAAGTGGGAGTGAGCACTTTACGAGTTTTCCTTCAGTTTACAAATTATTAACTGGGTGAAAGCACCGTTACGACCTTCAGCAGCCCCTCCCGGTGTTTTTATTGCATTGTGAATTCAGTGGGATTCCTGTCAAACGGCAGGCTGAAGGGATATGAGTGTAATTCCACACGGCCATCCTGGACAATGCCAGGAGTGTGCCAGCTGACCTGTGCTGCCATTTCACCGAGAATAGACTCAAGTCTTCTCGGTAATGGTGCCCCGATTGGATTCCTTCTCACCTTTCTCCTACACAATGCACGAGCAACCCGAGCTTGGTTTCATCACTGCGTGTCGCTGTGCTTAATGACGTCAGAATGTCTGGTCAGTGTCCTAAAGTTAATGAGTCAAAGTGTTAGTTTGTTGCTATATTTGATGGGTCTAACCACTGTTCGAACAAGTGCTTTATTGAGGTCAAAGGTGAGGACGAGTTCAGACTGAAGAGTCGCTAGAAAACAACGATCTGTGTGCATTTTCACCTGTTGCTGTCCAGAAAAGGCATTCATCATTAGGAAACTGCTGGTCCAATTAAATATAGTTATAATGATCATATGATTAGCATATTTCGCAACAGTAAGAAAAGGAAACACAGCTGTGTTCCACTTCTCCACCGGTGGAAGCTGGTTTTTGGATAGAATGTGTGCAAAAACAAGAACTTCATCTCAAACGAATGCAGCCACTTGTTATTCCACTTTATAGAAATTAAAAATATTTCTTACCATTTTGTTCATTCAGATTTTGTCAGAAACACATTGTCAACTTTAAGCATGTTTTAAATCAAAAACACAATGGGCCGCTGGAGGAATGACTGCTGAGAGCCCAACCATCAGGCTCAGGAAGTTTTCTGGGGGAAACCTTGAGGTGAAAATAAACGATTTCCCACAAAAGGGAAATTCAAAATCTTTCAAAAACAAAAGTCCAGGTGGAATCAAAAATAATAACTTACAAGATAAACACGAGGAAAGAGGCTGGTAAAGAGGAGGATTTGCGCAATTGAGATATTTTCAAATATAAAAAACAACACCCAGGAAACGGGTGTTTTGAACTCAAATCATTGCAATACATTATGTGATGTTTACCGTCCTCCTCTGCTTATGTTCAGGCTTCTTCAGACGAAGTATAACAAAGAACGCCGTGTACAAGTGCAAGAGTGGCGGCAACTGTGAGATGGACATGTACATGCGCAGGAAATGCCAGGAGTGCAGGCTGAGAAAATGCAAGGAGATGGGCATGTTGGCAGAGTGTGAGTATGGCTGCAGGTTTGGAGAGATGACAGGTATACTTTATAAATGTATTTAAATCAACAATGAACAAATATGATACCGGACGAGTTACGGACAGCTGAGAGGTGAATCCTCATTCTCCATTCTGACCTGGTCTACTTAATTATCCCGGGATATAATGTGTCATTTATGACATGCGACAAAGCTTTTGTTTGGCTTTCTGGAATGAAAGCAGTCAAGAAAAAAGTTCTCCCTATGAAAGATCAACATCGTTAATCAGCATGTGGACACTGAAAGAGTTGCTTCAGCTTTCTCCCTGGTAATGTTAGTTTCAGAAACCAGTTGTGAGTTCTGTTAATAGTCGGCAGTACAAAGGTACTGAAGAATAAACTGGACTCCTGTTGCTCATAAATACTTCAGTGCTGCTGTGATCAATATTGCAGCATGGAAGGCCTTCATGATACTATCTGTCCCCGCGGAAAGAGCTTAACTAATTAGGCAGGGAAAAAATTAAGAGGTGAATTTTTTTCTCTCTCAAGACTGAAGTTTTTCAAAATTCCCTTTCCATATTTGAGTGTAATTAAATAGTAAAAAGAGTATGTCCTCACTATATAGTAACGGTGATCTTGAATGAATTCACGTGTCTGATAGATATTAACAAGGGATCCGTAGGTGACTTTTTCGTTTTTTTTAAAGCTGCTCTGGATACAAATCTGTGAGGTATTTAACTCAGAAAGTGAAGCTTTCATTGATACCTGCAGGTCTGCTGACAGAGATCCAGTGTAAATCCAAAAGGCTTCGCAAGAACACCAAGACCTCCCCGGGGCGGTCAACGGGAGACGAGACAGAGGGGGTGGACAGTGCGGACAACAAGCAGGTCACCTCAACCACCAAGCTGTCAAAGGTAAACACGCCATCTTATCGAGTCCCAGAGAAATGTAGATGAGGCAAATAAAATGTTTTTGTTTTCAAATTTAGGAAAAAGTGGCAATTACTAAAGAGCAAGATGCACTCATGAAACTCATAGTGGAAGCTTACAACAAACATCAAATCCCCCAGGATGTTACCAAAAAGCTGGTATTTGTTCAGCCTAACATTGAATTATTCACATTATGAGCAGTAACTAAGAGTAAATACTCAGCTTATTCTTCCTTTCCCTTCCAGCTACAAGAACAGTACAGCACAGAGGAAAACTTTCTCCTCTTGACAGAAATCGCAACAAGTCAAGTTCAGGTTTTGGTGGAGTTTACAAAGAATATTCCAGGTAAATCAGAGAATTTTGGTGAAACACAGAGCTGTGGCAAAAAGCATTTGTCTTAGAACTTGTTTTGTATTCCAGCCTTGTATTTACTTATTGAGTTTCTTTGGATCCAGATGAGTTGCATTTTTGGATCTTTTTTTACCTACTTCATGTTGCCAAGCAGGTCCTTTTTAGGTGATCTCTTGACTCTACAGATTTGACAGAAATTAGGCTTAAGTATGCCTCATGAACTTAGCTGTCCAAATACTGGGCTTTATTCATGATTTAATTAGGAGAGGACATTTACATTTTCATTATTGGGTGAGGATAATTTTGTATCTAATATAAAAGTGCTGAAATGTTTAATACTAACAAAACAGCAAAACCAGATGAAATCAGTGAGGGGACAAATGCTTTGTCACTGTATGCATGTAGCATGGAAAGAAACAAAAAGGTGTCATTTCTTCGTTAGGGTTTCTGTCTCTGGATCATGAAGATCAGATCGCTCTGCTGAAGGGTTCTGCTGTGGAGGCCATGTTTCTGCGTTCAGCTCAAGTTTTCAGCAGGAAAATGCCAAAAGACCACACTGAGGTTTTAGAAGAGAGGATACGGAAAAGTGGTGAGTTCACTCACTATATGCAGCGTTGGTAAAGTCAGATTTCACCTGGAGAAAAAACTAAAACTTTCTTGACATAACAAAGAGTTTCCAATTCAACCATGAAAAATCTTTGAACGCACTGACTTTAAATGAAGCATTCTCCTGATCTTGATAAATTTTGAAAACTTGAATTCAATTCCAGTGAAAATGACATTAGCTTCTATGTTGAAATTTAAAATTAAACGGATCATAACAATTATAGCTGATTAGTTATATTTTCCCGCTGATTATTCAGTTTTAGTTGGAAGATTTCAGATTTCAAAAGACCTTTTTCATAAAAGATCATGAATCTTGAATCTTTATGAGACAACGGATCATAATTCATGCACAAAAGGGATAATATTCATGCTCAAGATAGGAATATGTAAAGTTCAGGCCAAAACTGTACATCACAGATAATCCAGGAGTACAGGATCAATATAACCATTTTTTAGGTTGATAACTAGATAATAAACCTAGTAGAGTAAAAAAAAAACCATTGTGTAAAAGAATAACACTAATTGTGAAGTTATTTGTAGAGGATTTGTACAGTTAAACAAGCAAATTTTTAATTTAAGCTTAAAAACATGTTCATTCAGCTAGTTAGAAGGGAAAAGTTAAGTGACTACCTTCAGCCTAAATCTGCCAGGTTATGAATTATAGTAGGCCTAAATAAAACGCCGATAAATGAGACATGAGAGGGAATCTTGATGGTAGTAACTTCTGCTGGATGTCAGCTGTCCCTTTGTCTTTTGGTCTGCCAGGCTGAATCGAGCCAAATCTGGTCGGATTCTCCTTTAATATTTGATCTGTGTGATGCAGCGGAGAGATGTGCACTGACCTACTGATCCCGGGCTGGGTGTCGGTTACACATGCACACGTACCCCGTGTGGGTTCAGTTTCACGCTGTTCAGGTGTGCCTGCGTCGCTCCAGGTGAAGACCAGCAAACCCGACCTCTTTTGAACCATAAGGATTAGGTTATTAAAACTCACATTCTGCCTCTTTGCTCACATAAATATCCCCTGGGCTGAATCGTTAACTGACCTGCTGCTTTTAAGAACCATTGAAATGAATGTGAGGTGTCATCATGTCAACCAGACTGAACAGTTAGACAGCAGTGATGATGGCAGATGTGTGTGTGTGTGTGTCAGTGAGTCCCTGAGCGCTGCTCCTGAGTGAATGGTGAGGATAAGAGATAGTCGCGCTAAAGGCCAGTCAGGGAGAAAAAGGCAGCAAAGCTGTCTGAAGAGAGTATTGTTTCTTATCACAACATCAGACGTGCCATTGTGCACTTCTTTCCCTCTGAGGCCCCCTGGCATTTCTGAAAGCTCCATGATGATGATGAGGATGATGATGATGATGATAATGATGTCTCCGGGTGGACAGACGTCCCCAGCTCGATCGATCAGCCTCTGCAGCTCCCAAACGTTAAACAGGAACCTGACTGAAAGACTTTGCACACTTTTTTTTTTGTCACAATTAAATCTTTCATTATTAACAAGCGTTTCTCTGCATTTTTTTCTTTTGTTTATTAAGACAAAGCGTGATCCAAACTGGTTAATAAAAAACTTTGACTAGGCCTTTGAAAACACTCAGCTTTATTTTTCACTGTGTTTCTTAGCCTGTCAGTGGTGAACATATTTATGTTCTCCTCCTTAACTTAATTGCTCTTGAGTTTAACGTCATGAACTCAAAAGACTTTTTTGTGTCAGAAACTTAGTTTTAAAATGGTTTGTCTGCTTTGAAAACCAATGGAAATTGTGACGCTGACGTGTGTGTAGAGTTTACGGTCCAAAAAAGTATGTTTTATACTAAAATCAGCTTGTTTAAATTTGTTCTGATTTAATGATTTAAAGTTAAAGTGTGATTCAAAAATAGGTTAAATTTTACGACGGCAAAAAAGAAATAAGCGTTCAATTTATTTATGACATTTGAGTGTTTTTGGAGGTATTTTTTTGTTCTTAATTTTAACAGGCTTTAGCTGACAAAATAAAAGCTTGTCCCACATCTAAAGCATGTGAATCTCAAAATCAAAACCTTCACTTGCACTTAGCCAGCTTTTTGGTAAAATGTGTAATAAAAACCACGTTTGTTTCTGCAGGTATATCTGAAGAATTCATCACGCCCTTGTTTAATTTTTACAAAAGTGTTGGTGAGCTGCACATGGTGCTGGAGGAACAGGCTCTCCTCACTGCAATAACCATCTTGACCCCAGGTGAGCCATCTTTTGCCTTCATTCAGAGCTCTTCATGGCGTCCATTGTTCTACATTTCTCCACGTAGATACCCGTACTCTTTCATAGCTTACAGTATAATTAGAGTGCATCGTATTCCTCTCTAGACCGGCCGTATGTGAAGGACCAGCAAGCTGTGGAGCGGCTGCAGGAGCCGATGGTGGAGCTTCTGAAGAAGCTGTGTGTTCTGCAGCATCCGCAGGAGCCGCAGTACTTTGCTCGCCTCCTGGGCCGCCTGACGGAGCTGAGGACGCTCAACCACTATCATGCAGAGATGCTCACATCATGGAGAGTGAACGACCACAAATTCACCCCGCTGCTCTGTGAGATCTGGGATGTGCAGTGAAGGAGCCTGGGAAGAAGAGATGGACATTCCAGCTGAAAGGCTCCCGGAGTGGAACCAAGTTCATAATGGTAGACAAACAACCAGTCTGCTTTGGTTCTGCCTGACTTTATGAATAGGGTAAGGTAATATTAGTGTATTATAGCAGCTTTTCCATGTCCAGGTTTTATCATCAATATTTGGCGTAAAAAGCTGAAATTTTGAAACGGATGAGTAAAAGAAGTACAAACACTGGAATTTTGTACAAAGCCAAGAAGGTGGTTGTAAGAGATTTAGATTAGTGTTTTTCGATGGCCTCATTTTTATTTTATGCACAGAAATGTATGTTTTATGTACTTGCCTTGATAATCGACATTCCCAGGGAAGCATTTTCATACAACGGAGAATACATTAATTACAGCACATATAGAAAAATGTACCACGTTTCTTCTAGTAAGTGTGGAACTTTCTAAATTATTATTGGGTGGCTGAATTTTTTTTTTCAAATATTATCCAAATGTCAAATTATTTATTTCTTTTATGAAATAAATTCTTTATTTAATCTCACAAAGCATATTCTTTTTTTATTTAAGACTGCAGTTAACCTTCTAATATCGGGAACACTTATTAAAACCAATTAAAGGACAATAACAAAAAATATAGCAATATAGCAAAATTATTTATCTAAACTCTGGTTTTTTCCTTGTTAAACATATTATAATGGGCTAAGAGTTAGCAGATTGTGCTCCCACTATCAGTGAGGTATTTAGAAACAAAGTGAGGCAGAACACAGAGGTGTAGGAAACTACTCTATGCAGGTAGTGGTGCCAACTGAGTGGCTTCGTTTCTGCATTTATCAAGCATTCAGGCTGCTCTGGAAAGAGAAGGAGCAAATCCAGTGATTTCATCCACATTTGAGACTGTCAGAGATCTGATGCCATCTGTCATTCTAATTCTTCTCCATAAGCAGCGGCATGCATCTCTACGCTGTCCTATCTCACTTGCAAATCTCCCAGCCTTTGTTCATTTAGTATTTATTTTCCTAAAACCCTGAAAGAAACAATATGGTATGTTGTGTTTTTAAGTGAGCAGTTTTATTAAAATATACATAATTTATATTTATATTCTGACCACACAACAATCACTTTTCTATGAATAGAAAGCACTGTTTCATTTCTTCTAAATGCAAAGAACCTAAGTAGCAAATGTTGGAAAAACAAAAAACGATTTTATTTTAAAGACTGGAGAAAATTGCATTTTCAAGTGACGGAATCTGCTGGGCAGGTTCCATGACTCTGTCTCATAGCACCATCTGGTGGATTAATCCAGAAGAAAATGCAACATGTGGAACCAAAGCAAACTCTACAAACTCAAGTTATGTTAAATTACTTACTCTAACAACAGAACCAGCAGTTTACTACCAAATGAATTAATGGCAGAGCTGTTTACAGGCCGGTTCTGTCTGCCGTTGTTTCTGCAGACGGATAGACCAGGAAGCCGGAGAAGGTGGTGTATCTCCCTTGGTTGCTGTACACGGCGTAGCGCTTGTCCTGCTGGCTGTACAGCCACACCGTTTCCCCACTGTTGAGCTGCAGCATTAAGCTCTGACTCTGCATCTCTCTCCTCTTGGACGTATCCTCGTCGAACACCATGGCCTGCACCTGCCCGCTCCCGGTCATCAGCTTCACAGAGACGGCCTTACGAGGGTGCTTCCCCACAGTGAAAGCAAAGAAGTACACTCCAGGGAAGTGGCAGGTGAACAGGCCTGAGGTTTTGTTAAAGTGGCCCCCAATGTTGACGTACTCCACGTCAAAGGTCAGGGGAGGCTTGTTGTGGTGGCCGTCACTCTGACCCATGAACGTGGATGTCCGAGCCACTGAGAAGGCTGACTGCGGCTGCTCTGCCGCTTGACCTGCGCTCTGGGGTTCAGCCTGAGGTGGGCAATCGGGAAAATACAGAGCTGGTGAGGAGAGGTGGTTGCTGAGGTAAGTGGTTGGCTGGAGCTTCGGGTAGACCAGATAACCAGAGAAGGTGATGTAAGGGCCAGCATTGCTATATACGGCATATTGGGGGTTCTGCTGCAAAAGCAGCCACACAGTGTCCATTTCCTTCAAACTGATCATCACACTCTGGCTTTGCACTTTCCTGCCGATCCTGCGGTAGTCATCATAAGCAATGGCTTGCACCTCCTCCCCATTCTTCACCAGGATGACAGAGAGCAGCTTACTGGGGAACTTCCCCACAGAAAAGGAGAAATAATAAGCCCCGGGGATGCGGCAGCGGAAGCGCCCGGTGTCTGGATTGAAGTCCCTTCCGGTGTTGACCATGAGCTTGTTGAAAGTCACTGCTTTCTGCTTGCCTCCCACCACGCTGCTGGTCTGCGCGGCAGAGAAAGCAGAACCGAGGCCTGTCGCCACAGCAGGCCCGTAAAGGGATGAAACTCCTCCAGAGCACAGGATAATGATGAAAAAACATGCCAAGTGTGAATGAGACCTGCAGGAAGCTGAAAACAATAAAAATACCAGATAATATTGTCAAATTACACATTGGGGAACACAAGAATGTCTGAGAGGAACATTTGCATTGTCTCTGAATAAAGGAATAATCCAATTACATGTGAATATATTTTCTATTCATATCATTGTTGAGTACTACCATTTTAGCACATTGGATTTCAGTGAGAGGAACATCAGCAGAAGCTTCATAGACAGTTTATCTACCAGTTATATGCTGTCATTTTATTATTCATCTTCAACCCCTTACTCTTCAAATCACAACATATTTTCTTCTTCCTTTGTTCTCCACTTATCAATTTTTCTTCTTTTTTTAGCCATAGTGTACAATGATCAAGTAATGGACAGAAACATAGTGAGAAAGCAGCCAAAAGCCTAAAAGACCTTCAGAAAAATAGAAAAACTACGAAACAACATCGCTTTGGAAGACTGCAAGAAAGTCAGTCTGCTTAAAATTACCAGAAGTTTAGTGACAATTTTAGGTTTTTCACTACATAAAGTCCTGTTTTTTTATTCTTTAAAAAGAAGTGCTTCTCTCTTTTTGTTGTACTGTTACAATGTTACATATTTTAGTTTAGCCACAGTTAAATTTTGTGATGAAAGATGTGTGATTGTGAGTGCACAACAAGAAGTCTACAAGAGAACTTTTTATGCTACATCTCAAATAGCTGCCCAGGATAAGTTTAGTCGTTCACCATATACTGGTCACTCTGATCTTATCCTGTATTTGAATTAAAAGATGATAAGGAAGTCTGGCCACATTGTTGACACAAATTCAGAGCGGTCTATGTGACCAACAGTGCCTGTAATGCGACTGATGTTTCTGTTCTGCTTGTGCACTGGCAAAAAAAAAAAAAGGCCTGCATTAGGCGCTGGTTCATGTGTTCCTGTGTATGTTGAACAATGGAAAATTTCAAAGACTTCACCAAGTTAGGACAGCAAATGAAAACATGAGTATGACTTTGATGTGCGAGTAAGTGGTAGGGGTAAATAACTTTTTAATCAGTGAATGAATATTTTCTTTTTTTACATTTTGAACGCTAAGTTGGTTTCAATTTATTTTACTTTTCAAAATATTTGTTCAGCATTTGTTCAGTAATTGATGTATATTTTTCTGTATTTACTTCTCTGTGTCCTTACATTTACTAAAAATAGGAAATTAAAGTTGACAATAACCCCACCAACAATTGTTGGACAATTTGAAGGTATTTGGGATAAACTAAAGAGATGAATTACTGAAAACTAAGATTAGTATTTGAGAAAAGACCTGAACCTGAGACCAGACAATACCAAAATTAAGATCCATCTTGAGTATTACAATTCTAGCACATGTATGCATTGTGCTTTATAACATACATTTTAAGTGACTAGTAATTCTGTACTGGAAAATGCAAGACAAATGTGCAAAATAACAAGCAAAAGTAAATAATTTAATAAAATATGTCCTCGTCTAATAACAGCAAACATCTGAGGATGCTCTTCTGAGACTTTTTGTCCTTATGTTTGAAAAAATGTTCATCTATTAAACGCTACTGTAAAATACCGTGCAAACACAGTCAGATGACAGAAACATGTTTGCAACAAACTTATGCAAATTTTAGAACAAATCATCAGTATAAAGGAATCTACTGTACACCTTTTAAAAAAAACTTATTTTTACACAATTGCAATCATAAATAGCAAAAGAATTAGTGAACGTGTCACCATCTGAAGATTAAACCAAAGTAATAAACCCACCTGCTGAGGTAAATTGGCACAGAAATTGCATGCTGGACTTGGTCTGAGTCGGGTCTGTTCAAGTTACTGTGCGTTTGTTGGTCTGTTAATGTAACTGACACCCAGTGGAACAAAGATTTTGTTCAGGCAGAAATTGTGGAAGGAGGAGCTCCGATCCTCCCTCTGATCTACAGCTACTATGATGCCTGTATGTGTACAAAAAAAAAAAAAAAAAAAACCAAAAAACCCCAAAAAAACAGCTGAACTCTGCAGACTTGTTTGCTTCCAGAGTTGTTAAGTCTAAGTCATCATTGTTTGGTCTTCCACATGTAGAGCTAATGCAAGACTCCAACTCTTACGACTTCTCAAAAGACATTGGTAGAATCTGCAAATAGAAAATGAATGAAAATGCCAACATATCAGTGAAAGAAGGTAATGTTCTGACATTGGAATGCAAAAAAATATTATTTTGATGTGATACAATAATATTTAATAATAATAACCTTTGTGAAAATTTGTCTCCAAAGGCTAATGCTCTTGGTCAAAAACACAAAATGAAATACGAGTTAGTAGATTATAGCAGGAACAACAGGAGCATTCAATGCTGTTAGAAAGTATTTGCTCCATTACTATTATTTTGTTTTTTCAGACAAAGATACTCTGAGTAAATACAGAATGCACATTTCAAATTAAAAAAAGCTATACTCTTTCTTAAACCTTAAACCTTTAACTATAGTGTCACCGGATGGAGGTAGAGCTGCCATCAAGGATTTGTAATATTTGTCTTTCTCTTTGCAGAACTGCTTTTAGTCTACACTTAGTCCACACTGTTGGGTTTGAAGCACAAACACACAGCCTACTGTCCCTATTAAAAGGATTCACCACTTAGATGTTTTACCCTTTTGTTACTTTTACTAATTAGTTTTGATACACAAAATTTGGTATTGACAAAATATTACAAAAAAATCCTATAATATAAAAGTGAAAAAATATTTATAAAAATAAAAATATGTATACACAAACTAAGTGACTGCATAAATGACCAGCCCCCTCAAGCAAGTATTTACTAGAATGTTGGAAAAATACATTAATTTATTTTCAGTTTGTAGCTGCTTCATGCAGCAAAAGCTCATTTTTAAAATAAAAATGCCAGTTTCATTTTTTTAGGCTTCAAGATGAGACCTTTATTGATCCCACCGGGGAAAATTAATTGAGCAGGAGGTCAAGCATTACTTATTTTTAAGTAAAATAAAAGTTTTAATATCACACCTTCAGTATTTTAACAATATTTGCATTTAATAATTGTTTGTCTTAATTTTTATCCCTTACTTATCTTTCTATTG